AGAACTCACCTAAGTTCTTTCTGTACTCCACCATCTTGACTCTGCTCCCAGAAGGTGATCTCCAAATTTCCAGTAATTTTTTTATACTATTCAGTATCTTCTTTAGTTAACCCATCTCTGCAAATTTAGTTACTGAATTGGGGCTTTCTGGTAGAGTCAGCCCTGGTTGGTCTTGTCCTGGATTCTTTTGCTGACCTCCCTCTATGAGGTTAGCTTCCTTACCACCCTAGATATTTAAGGTTCAAAGCATTAGATATCAGAGATTTCTATAGCACCTCAGGTTAATTTTCTAGGAGGGACCCTCACAGCCCTGTGATATTCCTATCTAAGCACAGCTTTGTGGTCACTGCTAGTCCTCCACTGGTTGCTGCTGCTTTTCTGGGCTTCCAAGGGACATGTTGTGGGCTTACAACCTCCCTGAGGATTTCTCAAGGGAGTCATTCTCTCTTGCTGCCTCTAGGCACAGTCCTGAAGAATGCATGCTTTTCCTGCCCTTCTCTCATCACCTTAGAAAGCTACAGGCTTGTTTGCCAGCCTTGGTTCTACCTTTGTCAGTGGTTGCTTTTCCCATTGCTGCTGGGTGACCTTTTATGCATTTCTGGTTTGGAAAAAATCACTGTATTTTTTTTTTGCTGGATTTCTGGCTCATTATTTGGTCTTGTGCAAATTTCAGGGTTTTGCTGGAGTAGATATGGGTGAACTGCAGGCAGCATTCTTGCTGGCTAACTACTAAAAAGTAAGCACATGAGTCAGAGTTTGTGAACTATAATTTTAGAAGTTTGGACCTGCATGATACCTTGGTAGTTATCTCCTGGGAGATCAACCTTGTGGGTTCAAGTTGTTGGGGGGAGGAGTAACTATAGAAGTAAAAATCTAACCCAAATACACCAGTCACTACGAGGAGACTTTGACTTCTAATATATCTAAAATACTTGCCAAGAGATTCAAGCTACATTTACCTGACGAAAACCACCAGGAATATTTGTAATAGTACTTCGGGTTGTGTAGTCAAAGAGTATGGTCAAACTCAATCATTTTTAAGAGGGCCAAAGAAAATAAAGCCATTTCAAAATATTGGTTACAGCTGAGAAATTGAACAGGCAATGTTCTCTCTTTGACTTAATCATGACCTAATTAAAACAAACTCTTGAAATGACAAGGCAGCTTTTATTCAGACAGTGAAAAACAAGGAAGTTTCTACCTGATAGAAAAATTATAACAGAAAAGTGTTTAAAATCCAAAAGTACCTTCGCCTAATATCTTAATCTTGTGATATAGAAGAGCTTTTCATTGTTGTTAAGAAACAGAATATTTTAGCATGAGGAAAAACTCAGAGGACCAGGGTTGGAATCTGAGCTCTGTTATATACTTCCCATATAACCTTAAGCAAGGACTTTACTCTCTCAGTTTCTTGGTTATCTCATTTGTAACATTATGGGGCTTATTATTAGGCATATATCCTAAAGAAGTCAAAGATGGAAAGGACTCTTACATTGAAAAATAATTATAACAACTTTTTGTTATAACAAAGAATAAGAAACAAAGTGGATGTCCAACAATTAAGGAATAACTAGACAAAATATGATATGCAAATGCAATGGAATGTCATTGTGCCAGTAGAGATGATGAAAGAGGGTAATTTAGAGAAACATGGAAAGACTCATATGAACTGATGAAGAGGGAAGGGAGAAGAATTAGAATTATTGATACAATGACTACAACATTATATAGGAAAATAACTGTGAAAGACTTAAAAACAATGATGACCTGTCACAACTCCAAAAGACTGGTTTCCTCCCTCTTGGCAAAGAGGTGGTGGAATAGAAGTGAAAATTGAGACATATGTTTTCAGAGATGGCCAATATGTAGATTTGTTTTGTGTGATTATGATTATTTGTGTAACCCAAGTTCCCAACTAAAACTGGGACATTTTCCATGCTGCTGATTAGGCATGACTGTGGATTAGTAGAAAGAATGCTGATGAAAGGCTGAGTGCCCGTGTGAGGATGGTGTGCTGTTGTGAGAACTTTAGAAAGGGGAGACATTCTGTCTTTGAGAGGACAAATCTGAGTTAGATTCATTATAAGGCAGAGCTTTAAAAAATAAAATATTTCTTATTAAAGAGTCTAATTGAAATCATATAAGCAGCCACCTCCATTACCTAAGAATGGGTCAATTAGTCTACATTTAAATGACTGAATCTCTTGCAAAGAAAAAAAAAGGAAATTAAACTAATGCTTCTACGGAGGCCATTCTATAGAAGAGTATTTCTAGGGATAAAATAGATTGGATGATAAAAGGATTGCATTTAGAGAAACCTGGAAGGACTTCTCATATGAGCTGATGCAGAGTGAAGTGGGAAGTACCAAAAGAAAACCTTGCCTTATATTTCATTGATAAAATTTAGCCCATTTGCCCAGAGCTCCCTCTTCTCCACTTCTCATTTCACATTACACACATCCTCTGCCTCTATCTCCTCCTTCACTCCTATCTCACACGAAAAGGTAACACTTCTCCTTGCCAAGAAAAACTCTTTCATGTGCTTCAGCGATCTCATTCCATCCCATCTTCTCTAAGAGATTTCTCCCACTCTAATCATCATCTCCATTCTCTCTCTAATCTTCAGTCTCTTCCTGTCTACTGGTTTCTTTCCTGCTGTCTACAAGCAAGCCTAAATCTCCCCCATCCTTTAAAAAATTCCTCATTAGATTCTACCATGTGCTCTAACTCTAGTCCTAGATCTCTCCATCCCTTCTAAGTTAAATTCCATTTAAAAAACCCTCCCTATACTTGGTACCTACACTTCCTTTCTTCTCACTCTCTTCTTAATGTTTTGTAATCTTGTGTACAGTCTCATCATTAAACTGAAACTTCTTTCTCCAAAATTATCAATGATCCCTTAATCGCTAAATCTAATGGCATTTTCTCAGTCCTCATCCTTTTAACCTTTCTAGAGCCTTCTATTCTGTTATCTTCTTAATACTCTCTTCTCTATAGGTTTTTGCTGTCTTTACCTGTTTCTCTTCTTATCTGTCTGACTGATCCCCAGTCTTCTTTGCTTCATCTTCATCTAGATTGTGCCCACTAACCTATAATGTCCTGAAAGATCTGTTTTCTATCCTCTTCTCTTCTCCTTCTATACTATTTCACTTGACAATCTCATCAGCTTCCATGGATTCAACTGCCATCTCTACACAGATGGTTTTCAGATGTTTTTATCTAGACCTAACCTCTCTCCTGACCCCCAGTCTCACATCTCCAACTGCCTGTTGGACATCTTAAATCAGATATCCTACAGATGAATTCATCATTTTTCTCCCAAACTCTCCTCCCTTCCTAGCTTCCCTATCACCGTTAAGGGCCCCTAAAACCTAGATGTCATCTTCTACCACTAATTTGCACTCACCCAACATATCCACTGTCGCTAAGGTCTACCATTCTACCTTCAAGCTATCTTTCATATATACCTCCTCTCCCCTGACACTGATTACCTCACATCTGATCTACTGCAATAGACTTCTGATCGGTTTCTTGTTCATTCCAACCCATCCTCCACTCAGCTATCAAAATGATCTTCCTAAAGCACAAGTCTGTTCACATCCATAAGCTCCAGTGGTTTCCTGGATCTCCCAGGATCAAACAGAAAATCCTGTTTAGTATTTAAAATCCTTAATAACCTGGTCCCTTCCTACCTCTCCAGTCTTCTTACACTTTTATGGCCATCCACATATTCTACAATCTAGTGACATCAGCCTCCTTAATGTTCCTTGCACAAGACTGCATTTCACTGGTCCATGTGAACTCCATGAGCAGAGTTCTCTTGCTTCTTTCAGATCTCAGCATTTTAGCTAAATCTCCCCCATCCTTTAAAAAATTCCTCATTAGATCCTACCATGTACTCTAACTCTAGTCCTAGATGGCTCCATCCCTTCTAAGTTAAATTCCACCTTAAAAAAATCCTATATATACTTGGTACCTACATTTACTTTCTTCTGCAGGAAGCCTTCCCTGGCCCCACCTGATGCCTGGCTTTGGCCTATTTTGTATTACCTCTAAGTTATGATACATGTATATGTATGTGTATATACATGTAATATGTATATACGTAATATATGTGTGTAATATGTATGTATATATGCTCACATGTATACATATGCACGTGCATTTATACATACATGTATACATATCCACACATGTCTATAGATACAATGTATTTGTATGTAGTTGTTTTCACATTTTCTTTTTTACCAGATTGCGAGCAGGTACTGTTTTAGTCTATCTTTATATCCCTAACACTCAGCACAGTGTCTGACACATAGTAAGCACTTAATAAATGCTTGTTTACTTGAATAATGCCAACTTGAATGATGGGCAAATCTGAAGCCAAATGACTATCCGCTACTGAATAAGTTTTGATTTTATTCCATGTTAGGGAGGTCAGGCATTATACTAGAGGGAAAAGAGGGAGCTCACCTAGACTGGATGGACTGAGGTGTTTGGGGAACCTTATCTAAAAAGGCTGCATTGCAAAGGTTTGTATATTGGAAACAAACTGGAACCTGCCATTATCCTCAGAATCTGGTCCACACTAAGATGCCCTAACCTAGTAGGCCTGGCCCAGAAGAATTTAAGAATGGAATTAAACTCTCAATAAAGAACTGAAGCCCTCCCTCACAATTCACCAGTGCTCCAAAGATAAAGAGCAGAGGGAGCCCTTAAGTCCCTGAAGCCTGGTTTTCATCTATTATTCAAGGAACATGATTAGTCCTGTCAAAATAAGAGGCCCACAGAGGCTGCAGACAGTGTAAAGCAAGAGTGACCCATATTAAATCAGTAACTTTTACATAAAATTGAAGAAGTGTATGTAAAAAAAAATCATTTTTGACAGTTTGTTTATAACATAGTATTTTGCAGTTGGAAGAGATTTTATGGATTATCTAGCCTATGCCTGCCATCTCATAAATGAAAAAATTGAGAACTAGAGAAGTTAAATAACTTACCTAAGGTCACATAGTTAGCAACTGTAACAGGCCAGGATTTCCCCCAGCACCTTTCCTCATGTTCTGCAGGGTAGGTTAGTGCTGGTCCTAAATAACAGGGAAGCTGTCCCCAAGAGGTGATTGGCCCAGAGAGCTAAGACTCAAAGTGCCTTGCTATTGACACAGGAGAGGGGGGTGGGGAGGAAAGAGATAAGCATTTACATAATGCTTGCTACACGCCAGATGCTATGCTAAGTGGTTTACAAATATTAACTCATTTGATCCTCACAACAACCATGGGAGGTAGGTGGTGCTGTTATTATCCCCATTTGACAGTTGAGGAAACTGAGGCAAACAGAGGTTATGTGATTTGTTGAGGGCACACAGTTAGTAAGAGTCTGAGAACAGATTTGAACTCTGGCTTTCTTGACTCCAGATACAGCACTCCATCTATTGCAACACCTAGCTGCTTCTCTGTGACCTCAGGCCATATGAATAAAAGGTCTGCCCACGTGGACTTTTCAGACTTGGTGGGTATCCCAAAGTATTCTGAGGCACCACATTATATTCTGGAACAAGACCCATTCCGTATATAGATGGGAAGTCTACCCAAGCTAAGTGCTATATCCTTGTTAAGTATCTTTACTATGCTATAGCTAGGTAAACCTTGTGTTAACTCTTAAATGACCTACAATTCCAAGTTAAACCACCAGAGGGCCAGCATGAGTAAGGTTTAGCCCACTACACTTAATGTAAGTGGTTTGTCCTTCATTCTTTTTTTTTTTTTGGAGGCAATCAGGATTAAGTGATTTGCCCAGGGTCACACAGCTAGTAAGAGTCTGAGGCCAGATTGGAACTCAGGTCCTCCAGACTCCAGGGCTAGTTCTCTATCCACTGTGCCACCTAGCTACCCCTCATCCTTCATTCTCGAAGGGGACCGATGACCTCGGGTAATGGAATGGCATTGTGGCTCACTTCTTGATTGAAGTGGGGGAAGCACAACATAAATTCAAAAGATAGAGAAGATGAGGTGATCAGATAGCCAGATATGGGATATGGAACCCTGTGGTAAGGACCATTTGGATGGTGCATGGAGAATCTATTCAATGGAGCAGAGAGAAAACTCCCATTGATGTGGGATAATCAACTCAATTATTGCTGGAGGATGCTGCCAGAGAGGACAAAGAAAGCACAAGTTCTACCATAATAATAACCTTGTTATTATTATTAATATTATCATGTCAATATTATTTAATAATATTTGTTTAATTAATAATATTAATAATAATAACCCTGGTTATTATTATCCATTGTTCAGAATATAACTCGCCAACATAAAAAAGTTGCACGTAAACTGGCCCAGAACATTGACAGTCTAGAGACAGAGCCCATAGTTTTCAACAGCTGTGTAATGAAAGCAGAACCCAGACATGAGAGCTTATCACAAGCGAAACGGGCAGTTCTTTGGGGGGGGCAGCAATCCATCAAGAGCCAGTGGGCAGGAACGGGTCCCCAGAGGTGAGTATGGTCTCTGACTCTGAGATTTCACTGGACAATGTGAGCTTTCTGCTGGAATCAGGTTCAGAACACGGGAGATTGAGAGCGTAAGCAAGGACAAGGCTTAGGAACCTGTGATAAGACAGACTCAGATTTATGCTATTACTCTCCCCAAGAGTTTTTTCCTCCACAGAGGGAGCAGAGGGTGGATGGACTTTCACCATCAAGGAACTAGTGAGGTAGTAGCAAAGGTTAAATAGCATCCGAATAGTGGTTGCTGAGAGGGCCCCAACGGAGCCAATGAAATGTTCTCCTCAGCAGAGTTCTAGCAGCTTGGGAAGGAATCTCCTACGACTTACTTTTGAAAAGCCAGTTAAATCAGTCAGGTGCTCTACATGGAGACCACCCTTTGTCTCTTTCAAGGGAACTAAGATGGAAAAAAAGCTGTGTGTGTCATTGGTCAATCGGGTCCAACTCTTCATGACCCCATTTGGGGTTCTCTTGGCAGAGATACTGGAGTGGCTTGCCATTTCCTTCTCCAGCTCATCTTACAGATGGGGAAACTGAGGCAAACAGGGTTAAATGACTTACACAGCTAGTAAGTGTCTGAGGCAGGATTTAAACTCAGGTCTGCTTGGCACACCATCCACTGTGCCACCTACCTGCAAGTTGTATGTATCTGACCCCATAAGATACATTCCCATTGTAGTAAAGGATGAGTGCAGGCCACCAATTTCATTTAATGAAAGACCTCCTGTTCTCTATTTTGTTGTTGTGCGGTCATTTTAGCATCTAACTCTTTGCAACCACATTTGGGGTTTTCTTGGCAAAGATACTAAACTGGTTTGCCATTTTCTTCTCCAGCTCATCTTACAGATGAGGAAACTGAACAGGGTTAAGCGACTTGCTCAGGGTCACAGAGCTAGTAAGTGTCTGAAGCTGGATTTGAACTCAGGAAGATGATTCTTCCTGCCTACAGGCCCCACATTCTAGTCTCTGTGGCGCCATCTAGCTGCCTCAACTCTAGTACAGCATCAACGTAACACCACTGCCAGCTGGCCTTTTGATCCATGCCCCTTGCCCTGATACACAGCTCTAGGCCTCAGAGTCAAGCTATACTAGAAATTCAAACAAACCCAATAAACAATTATTAAGCACCTACTATATGCATTCAAACTCTACTGTGGAAAGCACAACTCCAATGGGCTGGCCGCCTTGTTCGAAGGCCAAACATAAGCTTGCCAAAAAGACTATTTTATGGAGAGCTCACACAGGGCCAGCGCCCCACAGTGGTCAGAGGAGGAGATACAAGGTATCTCTTAACCTTGGAATCAATTGTGTGACATGGGAGACACCAGCTCAGGACTGCCCAGCATGGCGTGCCCTCATCAGAGAAGGAAGGTGCTGTGCTCAATGAGCAATGCAGAACCAAAGCAGCTCAAGAGAAACATGAGATGCACAAATTTAGAGGATCCACTCCAATGCTCACACGGACTATTTGTGTCTGACCTATGGTCGAGCATTCCAAGCTCGTCCTGGCCAGACCAGCCACAGTCGGACACACTGTGACTTGACTCGAGCATAGTGATGTCATTTTGGTCCTCTAGGAACACAGGACAACAAGCAATTATAAGGCAGGCTTCCTTGCAATCAGTCCTGGCTGGACGCCCTCCCAAGTGCCTTCAGTGCTCTGGCACAGGCCAACCTAGGCGATAAAAAAGCACCCACTACGACTTCTCCTTGACTTTACCTATCGTCACTCAGTCTGCTGTTCTTCCTTGTTACTTTTGCTGGTGTAACTTGTGTGGGAGATCGGGGCTAAACCACTTCCTCTCTCTTCACCATCCGTGGCTAGCCACATGATGTCAAGATATCTAGAGGGACATTTCTATCACTTTGAGTACAGCCCATGTGGAGGATTTATGGGACAACATAGACAAGGATTATTCATGAAAAGAGGGTATGGATGGGTTACAATCTGGACCACTAGAAGAACTGACTACCCACAATGATGAGATAGGTCACAGTATCGTAGTGACACGGACAATCGTAACTTCCTTCCTTCCCTCTTGTGGTGACCCCAAGTTCATAAAGGCCCTGTTAACAGAGTCCAATCTCCAGCAGAACCACAAGGTTGGTCTAGCCCAGTGGTATCTGCTGTCTCAAGACCAACCTACCTAACAGAGGAGAAAATTACCTGACTGGATACAACAAGATGATTTCTCTGCAGTAACCCTCAAAACCCCTCAGCTAAGTTGCAGTGGGGTTGCAATCATTATCAGTGAAGGGCATACCCACAGCAGTAAAGCTATAGATGCCTGAAAATAGTTTTTTTAAAAAGCCCACACACAAAATGATGTTTGCATAAAAGTCTCCGGGGTTTATTTTAAAAATTTTAAGAAATTGGATGAAACTGGAAAAATGCATAATTAAAATAGACAATATACTTTTAAAATCTTGTTTGTGAAATGCTGTTTTATTCATCATGAATAATACAACAGAGGAAAGCTGAATTTAATTCTTCGCTCTTCATTGGCAGCTGCCCTTATATCATCAAAAGAGAATAAACTTGCAACTGATGAGAACAGATTCACCATGGGCTAAAAGCCAGCATTTTTTTCCTTTTTATTATGAACTTATCAACAAATGCAAATATTTGTATTTACAAAGAGCAAAAAAAAAAGTTCTGGTATATGAAATCACTAATTGCTATTAAGTTGTGACCTTTGCTAACTAACACTTGCCCCGATGTGACTCACATGTCATCGTCAGGATCACAGGACAGAGCCTTGAAACTTTCCATGTGGAGGGCTGGGATGTCCTCATCGTCCCCAGCAGCATAATAGAGGGTGTCTCTGTATGAAGATAAAGGTCTGTCCATGTGGATTAGAATATGACTTCGATGTTATTATATTGAGGTTACTCTATGCAGAGAAAATCTGTGGACAAGGATCATGCACAGATGAAGAAGAGTCTTTGTAAGTGTTTCCTGAAAGAAAGCTTCCTCAGAGTCCCTCACAGCTTTGGTTACGTCCCTTCCTTTCATTTTAGTGCATATGCATATATTGTATACCAGCAATGCCCCCTGCAGGTTGCATATGATATAGCCGCATATTCATAAACGCATTTCAAGATCATCTTCTAAAGAACATACATAAAGAAAATAACAAAATGTGCCCTATTTTCTACAAGGGCATTAGTAACCTTCTTATGTACGCAGAAAGACCATCCTTTATGCTCCTACCCAGTATTCTCCCCTCTAAACAATATCTAGATGGAGAGAAAAAAACTTTCCAATGACCAATGTACAAAGCTGTTGGGATGGGAAAACACAATTCTCTGGAGAGCTGCCTAGAAATAGTGAGCAGGCCAGAGAATCCCATTTGCTATGGTGCTTCTGGCTCCATCCTTATACACTCGCCCCACAGTACTTGCTCTTTCCTTTTTCTAGACTACAGGAGGGGAATTCACGGAGTGATATCTTTCTCTCCCATTCTCTCATTCTCTCTCTCTGTCTCTCTCTCTGTCTCTCTCTCTGTCTCTCTCTGTCTCTCTCTCTCTGTCTCTCTCTCTCTCTGTCTCTCTCTCTGTGTCTCTCTCTCTCTCTCTCTCTCTCTCTCTCTCTCTCTCTCTCTCTCTCTCTCTCTCTCACATACACACACACACACACACACAAAATTGCCCAGGAATATGTCACTCCTAAATATTGATCAGAGCAGAACTGAGCAGTTCTGTTTTGTACCTTAGTGGTATGCTTCCTTCTATTCCTATATTTGGTTATAAAACAGAACTGAAAAGACAATAGAATAAAGACAAATACAAAGTAGTTTCTCCTCCAGTGTTATCTTTCAATGCTTGCATCTCCAGGAGTTAGGGAGGAAGGATCAAGATACTCTATGGGTCTATATTCCTAAAACTATAGCTCACAAGTCTGCACTGATATGCTAGACAGAGGACATAATTAGCTCAAAGTAAAGGCATTTACTGGAACGGCATAGTATGAACATAAGCTCAACATCTCTCTCTCTTAAATATGGGGCTCACTGTCTCCAAAATACATATTGTATCAATGGGAAAAATAGACACACCTAGCGTTCACATTCTAGTGTGCACACTAGTAAAGAGATATACAAATAGCTAATGTGAAGGGCTACAGCAACTTTTTACTACAAGGCCCTCGATGTCCTTTCTCTCCTTATGGTGACCTCACTCTGCTCTCACCAAACATACTATCTCTACCTGGAAAGTTTCTCAGCTGGAACCCATGGGCCTGGTCCTCTCCATAGCTCAGCTCAGCTCAGCTCAGCTCAGCTCAACTCTATAGCTGGACTCTCTAGGTCTTCTCTCCACTGGGTGAAATGTCTCCTGCTAGGTAAGCTGCCCCACTGTAACATTTGATTATTGACAGGGGAAGAAGAGAAAGAAATCACCATCTATCTCCCACTACCCTACCACTAGACCCTGAAACAAGAGACTCTGTGAGAAAAATGAAGAAGAATTCTCTCAAAAGGTGGGTTCTTCCACAACTAGCTGTCTTCTCAATTGCCAAGGATGACTCTCTATTATGAGAACTCTTGTTGTGACTGATTACAGATCCAGCTGCCTCACCAGAGGCATGAGGGATCCTTCATTTACCCAATGACTGATTCAAAATTCAGTCAAGCTCGATTGAGGAACTCCTTCACCCCTTCTAAAGAAGCAGCTATGATAAATACTGCCTTATATTTGCTTTACAAGCTGTGAATGATCATGCCCAGCTTTTTACCCCCTACAATTGGCAAAGAGGCTCCTCGTGGTACAAGCTGCTCAAGACGAGGACTGCAATTCATGTCAAAGTATAAATGAATTGTAACTTCTGGGGGTATTCACATTTTAATAGAGACCTAGAACTTTAATGTGATAAAATTCTACAGAAATTTTGGTAATCAGTTAGCATCTGGTAGAGAATAATTGATGGAGCTAGGGAACTTTGATCTCCTTCACCCAAATTCACACCATATTGTGTATAAAATCTACTTTATGTGTAAAACTAGATTTGGCTATAATGACATTAACATGATGTGGTGAAAAGAACATGGAATTAGGGGGTCACTAAATCTAAATTCCTATCTTAGCTCTGTCACTGCTAGCTGGGCAGACCACTTAATCCCTATGGGCCTCAATTTCTTAATCTGCCAAATGAAGGAATGGAACAAAATGATTTCCAACTTTCCTTCTAGCTCTAAAATTCAATGATTTTAATTTATATCTGCTTGAAACCTCTCAGCACAGGTTCAACACTGCAGCAGGAATCAGATCAGTCACTTGAAAGAATACATACAGGTTTTAGAAAGTCAAAATTTGGGGTGGGGGAAGCTATTATAGATAAATACTGTTGAGGTGGGGTTAATCAAGAGACTCCAATCTCTAGCTAGAGCTCATAGCCATGAGAGGAGCAAAAATTGAAAGCCTTCAACCACTGAGTTTAGGCTATTTTTTCTCTTAAAACACATTTAAACTTTTTTGAGATTAACTGGTTCATAGGATTAAGGCTGGGGCCTTTGATAAAGCTTCCTGGTGGCCTAAATAGAAAACCAGCCAAAATGTGAGGGGCTGGAAGCTCTTCCCTAGGTTTCCAACTGCAGACCAGAAGTAGCATGACCCACATTAGAAAAGGAAAGCTATGCTTAACTGAACCAACCATATCCTCAATTAACATACTTGCCCTTCTCTCGATGTCCTTCCACTGCTCCGTCTACGCAAGCTTCCTTTTCTAGAATGAACCCTTCATTCTAATCTTGGGTTTGAGCCACCAAGATGTCCTGGTTATTTCTGGTTTATTACAACACCATACTGCAGTATTCATGAAGCTGAGATGAGCTCCTTTGGCCACCTCCAAGGACACATCAGGCTCAACATTAAAGGACCTTGACTTTGAGATAATGAAGAAATCCCTTTATTGGATACTGAAAAGGAAGAGCTGCCCACTCCTACTCTTTAAAAGCAGAAAACATTTGCTCTGGCTCTCTTCTTCCTTCTTCTGGAACCTAAGGCACAGAACTGTCCTCTACTCCACAACTGCTATGGTGGTTGCTTATACAATACAGAATGCTACATTCCTCCTTGGGGACAAAAAAAATTGCAGTCTCCTGCAAAAATGAACAAGGTTGCAGTATACTTGAAGTCTTCAATTAAATAACACAGGCATCAAAAGAAACATCAAAACTTCAAACTAACAAGGATGATTATGTCAGTGTCCCAGATAATCATTTTGTACCAATTTCAGCCATGGGTCTCACTGAATGGCCTGGGTCTGGGGCCTCAGAGAACAGGAACTCCCCTTTGGGCTCAGGACAATTGGCAAACTTCTGCCAATGCTTTCAGCCGTATATAATTGTTAGTACAGTATGCCAGAGCCATCATCACATGCAGTCGATCCTCGACATTCCAGCATCTAAGCTGCGAGACTTCAGTCATTCTCCTGATTTTATTAGTAACTTCATTTTTACTTTCACATTGGCAACCCTGCATATTCACAGCTATGCAGAGGCAGGACCCGTCGCAGTCTGTGCAGTGGCTGGTACCCTCATAAGTGCTTCTCTGGTGTCACTCACCCTATCTTGGTAAAGAGCCCCCGCGATGCATTCATTACATATTTTCATTGTTTGCCTATAAAATTCAAGCTCTGTGTTGCAACTATGCCTCCAGAGTGTAGTGCAAGTTTATGGGTCGTCTGAACGAGAACATTATATAAGGATACTTCGCTATCACACAGAACCTTTACAAAAAGTAGATTAGGACACAGAGGAATTATAAATGTTTTTAAAAGGCAAAAATACTGGACACAATCTTTCCAAATCACACTGCAATAAAATTGCAGTCAATACTGGGATCACAAGATTTTATAGCTGAGAAAAAGAAATTTATTAAGTCACTTAGTATCTGCCAGCTGCAGTGTGAAGAGCTGAGAATAAATATAAGCAAAAGGAAAGACTGTCATGGCCTGCAAGGAACTTAAATTCTAAGGAGAGAAAACAATACATAAAAGAAATCTGGAAAGGGGTGAGGGAAAAGGTAGCTCCCTGGGCAGGGCATGACAGAAAATTAGTCTAGTCCATAGAGAGTAGAGGGCTAAAGTAGGTCAGAAATAGTATTTTCAGCAATCGCTAGCAAAAGATCACAGGTTTGGGTGGTTGCGGGACCCTAACCAGTTGTTTCCCATATGTTCAATGTATCAACATTTGTGTTTTTTACTTTTACCCATTTTCTAGTAATGTTACCTTGGCAAAAGTTGAGAATTGACTGTACTTTCTGCTAAGCTAAATAACCAGGTTAATACCATTATAAGAATGATAGAGATTTTTGCATGGAGGTGTGATGACCTGCTATACTGGGACAGGATCATTATGATTACTTAACTAAGGATGAGGCCACTCCTTTTGCCCAGTAGGACTCCTTGTCAATCAGAGGACCTCCCATATATCCCAGATGGTCCTTGGCCTGCTCCCAACTGGCAAACTGAACCTTTTTTTCTCCTCTCAGAGCAAGAGATTTAGGGTACTGTTACCTTTTTTCTAAGCTGAGAGATCTACTAGTGTGTATTTGCATCACGACCGTCATTCAGAACTCCACGGCAGAAGTCAAAAGATAGTAAACATTATTACCCTAAAATAAACACATACACCATAAAGCATGATTCCTGGTGGAGTGGCACTAGAAATGGCACATGACTCCAATGAGATTCTTATTCTGGTTTCTGATATATTCTGGTCATACCTTATCAATATGAGACTGAAGGAAGGAGGAAAAGGAGGGTAAACAAGAATTCCTATGGTGCCTACTATGTACCAGGGATTGTTAAGCATTTTTAAAAGTACGACCTCATTAGATCCTTACAAGAACCCTGCAAAGTAGCTGCTATTGTTATCCTCATTTTACTTTGGGGAAACTGAGGCAAGTTAAGTGACTTGCTCAGGTCTCACAGCCAGTAAGCATCTGACTCTGGATTTGAACTCAAGTCTTCTTGACTCTAGGCCCAGCACTCAATCCACTGTGTCACCAGTACAAACATGCAAGTCTAGGATCTCCCAAAAAGGACCAGAAAAGTATTCGATGTATACTGTAGAATAAGTATTTCTTCCAAATACAACAGATGACTCTTAGTGTACATTGACAAATGTTAACAGTAACCTACAACTCTTAATATAGGAATTTGACACTTAAAATTATCAAAACATAGCATCTTTAGTGGGACCATTGAACAGGCATTTTATTTTCACCTTGGCAATACATTTTCCAAACAATTCCTTCAGGTCCAGCTTTTGACACATCTTTTCCACTTAGAAGCATTATAGTAACTGTAGGGAACACCTCCCATGGTGCAACCATTGCTGCATGAGGAGAATTTCTGACTTCTTACACGCAATAGGCTGTCTCCAAAGCTGGAAACATCTTTCTCGGAATCATTGTTGGGTCATCAAGGCTGAGGGAAAGAAACGCAAAGCACAAGGGGCCTTGAAATCTAGTTTCAAGCTCACCAAGAGAGTATATGTGCGCGCTGCCAAATGTGAATACTACCTGTCATCACTACGGTGGAGTAGAGGGGGAGGAGGGAGGTAGCATCTCTCTCCCTCTCCTTCTGGAGAGAAAGTTCCACACAACACATCCTAGAGACAGAAGGAAGAGCCGGAGAACAGAAATTGTCTCTCCCTTTAAAGCCTATTGAGTCTATCCATTTTCAGTAGGCAAAAGGGAGATTGCTTCATCATCTCAAAAGGAATGTCTGTCAGTGCTGGGCCACACATGTCCCCAGAAGCCATAAAGGGAACCCAACTCCAACTTAGCTATGATGTATGCAATGGGCTGTGCTCTAGCCAGAAAATATAGGCAGGAATGGAGGGTAGGTGCGAAGTGTGTTGGTTATTTACATTACATATAAATGAGAAACTAAGTCAGAAAGTTGTAGCTACTTGTCCAATGTCATGTAGTATGTAAGAAAAGCAGTACTCTAAAGTCAAGATGGCTAACTCTCTCAAATACATTTTATTTCAGTTTCTCCTAAAAAATAGAATTATGAAGCTTTTTAGACTACATAAAAGTAAAACTGTGAAGCAATTTAAAAATCTCATTTAGTCAGTGAAAACAAAAAAAAATCTCTCCTCTTTCATATTCTCAGAAATTGGCTACTTTTATTTAGAAACATTAATTCAAGCATATTATTGAATTCATTACAGAATGTTAACCATTAAAAAGTTTCCAGGCTATTACTGTACAATAGATCTACTCTAAAATGTGTTTCTTTTCTCTAGCAATCAAGGATTCTGCAGGAGAAGACTGACATCTACAGGAATAATCGTTATTTACACAGGAAAGTCTGCATTTTTTTTTAACAAATTCTTAAGAATTTATTGTCCACCTACATTTTCACAGAGAAGTTGTTTTTTGAAATGGATTTAAATCACAAAAACATGGAGAATATTAGGTTAGAAGGTTATCTAGTCCATCCTGATTATTTCAATAAGAAATAAGCTATAAGAATCTTTGTTTTTTAAGATCTTTGAGAAGGAAATTACACAGCCTTCCACATGCCTTAAAAGGTTTCTTAATTGAAATGAATTCCTGGTGGATTCTAACCAAGATGATTGCCCAACCAGAGGCAAAACACACCTATTGCAGCAAAAATCTGAAATTCACACTAGATTCAATAATAGTCCAGAAATCCAGTGAGTAACAGTAGTCAGGGGCTTGTTCCTCTAGAGTACTGCACAAAAAGCATGCCAGCAGCCCACTTCTGGCAGTAGGAAAAGGGGCTACCCATAAAGCCAATACAAGTCAGTCAGTCAATAAGCATTTATTAAGTGTTTACTGTGTGCCAGGCACCATGCTAAGTGCTGGGGGTACAAAAAGAGGTGGGAGAAGAAAACCCAGTCCCCACCCTCAAGGAGCTCACAACTTAATGCCAGTATAGGCAAATAAGCCTGTAGCCTCCCAAAAGGACCAAAAAGGTGACAAGCTGTAATTTTCAAGGCTCTGTGTCTGGAAGCAGCAAAATGAAGGACTCCCACAAGAAAGCCCTTAGGGGTGTTGAAAGTCAACTTTGGAAACTCTAGGGAGTGGCAACAGCCATTGCCCCAAGACGGAGCTTAAACCTGTGCAGGCCAAGGGCTCTGAGACCCCTAACACGCTGTCCAGAGATGCCATAGAGGGACCTGAAGTGCTCTAACCCTCAAAGACCCAGAAAGGTCTAACTCTGGGAGATAGAACCCAAGGACCTACGACAAGGCCAGACAGGACCAGCCACCTACCCAAAAGTATGTCAGGGGCCAGAGACTTCTCTGGTGTCAATTCAGAAACTGAAGAACTGAAGAGATAAGTAAACCCAAGAGAGCAATGATAAATACCAATATGCACATATTATATACATAAAATCTACAGGTCCCCCAAAAGGAGAAAGTGAAAGATCATGAACTAAATAAAGTTTGTCTTTGAGTGCCCTGTGCCTGTTTCAAAATGTTTCTCTATCTTTAACCTACAACCTGCAGGCCTCTAGTTTTTTCAAGCTTTTTCTTGACCAGGGCTTACCTATATTTGTGCTCTCTTGGAAGTACCCTCACGTTTGGTACTTTTCCTGATCTCTTACCCATCAAAAGATAGGACAACAATATTTTTCCCATGTTCCATTCCCCAGCTCCCTGCTCTCTGTAATAGCCAGATAATCTAATGAACTAATATGATAGTGGCTGATAAAATGTTAATAGATTTCATCTAAAGACTTATCCACTAGTTGGCACAGTGGATAGAGCACCAGCCCTGAAATCAGGAGGACCTGAGTTCAAATCTGGCCTCAGACCACACACGTGACACTTACTAGCTGTCTGACCCTGGGCAAGTCACTTAACCCCAATTGCCTTTTAAAAAAAAGATGTATTGCATGCTAATGGGGCTTTCCTTAGTGCTACTGCTTTAACCAAAGAAATTACCCAAATGGTGAGAATTTCTAAGTGAGTAATAGGCTAGCAGACATTCTGAGGCAGGCAGGATGCTCTGCCTCCTTAAAATCACATCATATGATACCTATTCCTTCTAAGAATATAATTGGCCTTATGCTGAGATTTAAATTTATTTCCTATCTAACAAATAAAATAATCCTTTACATACCTTGTAAGCAAAAATCAAGGCCTTTCTCAAAATTCTGATACTCTCCAAAACTAGGCTATCCACATGAAATCAAAATATTAATCAAGTGAAAAATGAGGAAGTCAAACAGGTTGTTATTTTGTCTATTGTAGGTATAAATCAAAAATTAGTAAGAAAAAGTATCAAGTAGGGGCAGCTAGGTGGGGCAGTGGATAGAGCACCAACCCTGGAGTCAGGAGGACCTGAGTTCAAATCCAGTCTCACACACATAACACTCACTAGAAAGAAAGAGAAATGATAGATCACTGGACAAGTCACTTAAAGTCTGCCTCAGTTTCCTCATTTGTAAAATGGGAATAATAGTGGTGCCTATCTCTCAGGGTTGTTGTAAGGATAAAATGAGATTATCGTCGCATTACTGAAGTTTTCAATTGCACTGAGACTTTTGGAACAACCTGTATTTGTAGTGTCATATTATAAATTTAACAAATGAAACAAAGCAATATCCAAGGCACATAGATAAGTTATTCTCCCTCCAAGCCTTCTTGGGGTTTACTAAACTACTTCTACTAAAGAGTACCCTCTCCAGGTAGATCTTGGCTGAAGACTGCCCCTTTCCGCAGGTTGGTGGTGTTTGTTCAGGATTCAGGACTGTCATGTACGTGATGACTCAGTTTTTATACTATATACCATTGTGCTTTAGAACTGTTCAAAGACACACTGATGTGAATATACACACCCAAAACTAAAAATGTTCTTTAAAAAAAAAAAGCAAATAAAAGATAAATACAATGAAACTTTCAAATACACTAACTAAAATGTAAATCTGTTGTGCTGTATGAGGAAACTGAGATGACACATGATAAAGTTTTGCTGTTGTTCTGTTTTTGGCTGGGCAATGGGGTTAAGTGACTTGCTCAGGGTCACACAGCTAGTAAGTGTTATGTTTCTGAGGCCAGATTTGAACTCAGATCCTCCTGAATCCAGGGCTGGTGCTCTATCCACTGCACCACCTAGCTGCCCCTACATTTATGATAAAGTTAAGAAAAGCTTCTGAACCAGATCAAATAAACACAGAAGAAATGCACATGGGAAGTAGTTGGATTTTAAAGGCACACAGGGGTCTGTAAGGTGTTCCAAAGAGAGGAAGATTACAAAGTAACAGAAAAGACAATTAAAAAAAGGTGATCAAAAATGTATCACTATCCATGGCCTACTTTATTATCTCTACAATCTTTACCAGAATGATCTGCCTCTACATGCTTCAATGACAACCTCAGTGAAAGTATGAGAAGGGAAACACCAGGCTTTCACAAAAACAGCAGATCACATCTTCAGTCACACAATTTGCTAAGAGAAGTAGAGGATTCCCCTCGGCTTACTGATTAAAATAAGAAAAGCATGTTACTCTAAACAACAAAATTCTGCCTTTTTTAACTCCTCCAAGTGTTTCCCCAAAGGAAGCTAATATTATGCAAGATTCTATAACAGATTTAACTATGGAGGCAACCTTGTTTCAAAGCTGCTACATATCTTCATCAAACAGGGAGATAGATGATCAATCAAAGTGTTCACTAGTAACACAGAGAACATAATAGCAAAGTCCAAAGAGAACAGAGATGTTTGCAAACGATATTGTGGGGTTTTTTTCAAACTCCAGAACAGCAAGCAAAATGAAGCAAAAAGATCCACTGTTATGCAGAAGAAAGTGGCCTATTCATCCATACTAATATGTATGAGTACACTTGGAACATCTTGTATACATGCCTAAATTTTTTAAAATGCATATTGCCCAAGTTAACACATAGCTAATCAGGCAATCCACTCCCTCTGCCCCTCTCTCCTGTCTTTGTCTCTATCTGCCTCTCTATCTCACTGTCTGTTTATATATACACACACACATTTACATATATATATATATATGTTACAAATGTGTATAAATATAATATACATGGCATACATACAGGGTATGCCAAATGTACCCAAACATACTATAACATCCTTTGAAAAAGGGAGACTTTGTTTTACTATTACTGCCCCTTATGCTCTTATAGTTTTGAAGTATAGATTGCTTTTTGGTTCCCAAAAAAGTTTTTTTGTTTTATTGATGTTATGTTTTTACATTAGAAGCACTGACAGATTACCTCCACTTCTGAAAGGTCTCTTGTAACAAAATAAAACAATTAAGCAAAACTAACAATAGAGTGACCTTTTCTGAAAATGCATGCAACATTCCACAGCTATACCACTCCCATCTACCTCTCTCTGTTTGCTTATTTATTTAATAAGCAGGAAATCTGTTTTCTCTCCTGAAGGCAGCTCAGTAGCACAGTGGATAGAGTGCTGGCCCTGGAGTCAGGAAGACCCGAGTTTAAATGTGGCCTTAGACACTTACTAGGTATGTGACCTTGAGCAAGTCACTTAACCCTGTTTACCTCAGTTCCTCATCTGTAAAATGAGGTAGAGAAGAAAATGGCAAACCATTCCAGTATCTTTACCAAGAAAACCCCAAATGGGGTCACAAAGAGTTAGACACAACTGAACAAATATGCAGTCAAGCAAAACCAGTTACCTCATTGGTTATATACAAATACACCACACAGACAGAGGGGCAACTACAACCTTCCAGGTTCTAGGAGTAATACTTCAGTTGCTTATAGTTCTAAAGCTATAGCACCTGAGCCCCCACCAGTGTGCTGCCCATTAACAATCAGTTAATAGACTAAAGCAAGAAAGCTAGTACAAAATGTTCCTTTCCCCATCCCAGAACTCCCCCAACAACTACACACCGAAACCTGAAGTACACTATTCCACAAAATACCCAGCATCTTTAGAAAGAAGTTAACTCATTCTTGGAGTACAACTGCAGTGAAATGCAAATGCAGGTAACATTTACAACTCTGGGTACCTCAAGTCCTAGAAATCCTTTCTCCATTCATAAAGTCCTCAAATAGCTCCCCTTGGAGAGAGTGTCTTCAGCATTCTTTTCCACCCTGAAGGGTACTGCTCCCTGTTGTTTCTCTTTGCTGCTCTGGTGGATGCAGGCGTTGTTCCCCAGGCTTCCCAGGATATTTGGATTTCTAGGAATTTATGAGACTATCTCCAGGCCTTGACAAGCAGAATACTAGTTTACCTAAGATCAAGAAAGAACAATCACAAAAGAGATAAAGCCTGTTCAAAGCCACATGGAGGCTACGAGGGAGAAGGTAGTTCTTAGGAAACAGAGTGGTATTAGAGGAAAAAGCATTGAACCTGGGTTCAAGTCCAGGTGTATGGTGTTACCATAACCAATCTCTTAACTTCTCTAAGCTTCATTTTCTTCCTCTGCAAAATGGGGTAACATTTGAATTACCTTTCTCACAGAGTTATTGTGAACAAAATACTTTGTCAACTTCAAAGCACTGCATGAATATTATTATTTTTGTTGCTGTTACTGTTATAGTGAAAATGTCTAATTTGTAGAATACAAGACAAGATGGTATAGTGTAAAGAACACTTATTTAGAATCAAAAGACCTAGATCAAGTCCTGGTTCCACCATTTACTGGTTACGTGGCCTTGGACAAGTCACTTAACTGTACCTCAGGTAACATCTAAACGACCTATCTTTTTATCATTATAAGAACCAGCTGAAATAATATGTACAAAGTACTTTGTAAATCTTAAAGTACTGTGTATAAACTCTAATAACTATTTCACCTGCTTTGTCTCTTTCTGGGACCCAGGCTAGTGCCACAGTAGAGTTTAAAGCTCCAGGGAAGAGAAATTTTTGAAACATAAAAGACCTCAGAAGAGATGAAAATAATTCATTCACCTGGAGTCAGTCTCTGCTACTGGCAACTCCAAATCTTTCATCCTGCCAGACTCCCTACAGTCAACATCAATCTATAAAACAGGTCACTCAGACTCATTTCTTCCATAGACAATAAAAGGTATTTCTTAAAGTCTAATTACATTTTTAAGCTTTAACAGGAGCTGAAATGTGTTTTTCTTGTTTGTACAGTACTTCAGCCACCAATTAAAAAAGAAGCTTTGGAACAGATTCTGTGGGGAATATAACAGCTGATCAGCAAGAGGAAAGGACTGTCACATGGCAACAGGGAGAAACAGTTGACATTTAGATAATGTATTGCCAAAGGACTCTCGGCTCAGATAAACCTCCCTACAGTCCTGGGCAGTGAACCCAGAACACGGTCATTGCCTTTCTTTGGCTCATTGCCTCGGCCCTGGATTGAAAATCTGAGGAAATCTGAATAAACTATTGGGAAAGTTGAACAAAGGTTAGTTATACAGCTGGGGTCTTATTGTTGTTTGGTGGTTTCAGCTGTATCTGACTCTTCCTGATTCTATCTGGGGTTTTCTTGACAAAGATCCTGGTGTCTAGCTTTCCCCCAATACACGTAACAGGGCTCCCAACTCCCATATAGCCATGCATTGTACAATAGGGACAAAGTCCTTTTAGGGTTGCTAAACCAATACTCCTCATTCACCTTGAACCTGTACCACCTGAAATACTCATTGTAATTATTACTGACAGCTAGAAGACTCCAGGTATCTTGGCCCCTCATGGCATAACTTTTCTTTCTCTCCTCTTGGAAGTGCTCTGTTAGGTAAAACACACCCTCTGCATTCATTCTCTCAACTCTCTCTGTACTGCTAGGTCAGTTCCCCAAAAGAAGAACTACTATTGACTCCTCCCATTTCCCACCCCCCCCCCCCCGAGTTCTAAATATAAACATGAGAGGTTGTGGCTTTTTTTTTTAAGGCAATCAGGGTTAAGTGACTTGCTCAGGGTCACACAGCTAGTAAAGTGTCTGAGGCTGGATTTGAACTTAGGTCTTCCTGACTCCAGAAACACTGTTCTATCCACTGCTCCACCTAGCTGCCCTGGATGTGGCTTTTAATACTATTGCTCATGTTGGAACTACGCCCAAAGGGCTATAAAATTATGCATACTCTTTGACCCAGCAATACTAGTTCTAGGTCTGTATCCCAAAGAGATCATAAGAATGGGAAAAGGACCCACATGTACAAAAATATTTATAGCAGCTCTTTTTGTGGTGGCCAAGAATTGGAAATCGAGGGGATGCCCATCAATTGGGGAATGGCTGAGCAAGTTGCGGTATATGAATGTAATGGAATACTATTGCGCTATAAGAAGTGATGAGCAGGTGGACTTCAGAAAAACCTGGAAAGACTTATATGAATTGATGCTGAGTGAAATGAGCAGAACCAGGAGAACACTGTACACAGTAACAGCCACTGTGCAATGACTGACTTTGATAGACTCGGCTCTTCTCAGCAATGCAAGGATCCAAGACAACTCCAAAAGACTCAATGATGGAAAACGCTATGCACATCCAGAGAAAGAACTATGGAGTCTGAATGCAGATCGAAGCATACTATTTATTCTCCTTTTCCTTTGTCATTTTGTTTTATTGCTTCATTCTCATGGTTCCTCCCATTAATTCTAATTGTTCTTTACATCATGACTAATGGAAAAATATGCTTAACATGAATGTATAAGTAAAGCCTATATCGTATTGCATGCTGTCTTTGGTGGGGGCACGGGGAGAAGAAGGGGAGGAAAATTTAAAACTCAAAATCTTGTGGAAGTGAATGTTGAAAACTAAAAATGAATTATTTTTAAAAAATATTATTGATCATGAGCCCTCATCCAACTTGTGTCTGCTCCTCCATATCAATCAGCCAGTTGATATGAGTTAGCTTTTATGAAGGGACTCACTGAGAAGGGAGAGCAAGAATAGAAATTAACTTCTCTCACTCCAGGAGTGCACTCCCTTCCACCTCCACAGTCCTCACACAGAGAGTCCAGGGAGGGGACAGGTGAGCACAGATTTCAAGTATCATGGCAGTGGGATTGGATTTGGGTTTGGGGGAGGGGGTACCCTGCAACTTCTGACCCTGGAAGTCCATTCATTTCAAGAAAACGTTGCTATAATGGACAAGTCATACCCTTGCACAGATGGGTTTCATCTTTCAGAATGGGATGTCTTAGCTGACTGGTCAATCTAATGCTGGGCTAGATCAAACCAACTGCTCATCGGCTGCGCTGACACTTGACCGTCACAGTTACCAGCTCCAGGGGTCTCTGCCACCAACACTGGCTACTGAAGAGATCCCTAATTCATCTTCAGACCTTTGGGAGCTCACAGGACTGTAACCTGATCGATTATACCTAAGGTCAGAAAAGAATATGTATAAAAGAGAGGCAAAAGAAACAGAAACATTCACAGACACGTGGCATACAAGTGAAGAGATGAGGCATCTGTTACCCTTCTCTCCACCTGGTGGCTCACAGCAGTCCTCCTCACTCAAAAGCCATCACTACTGGAACTTCTTAGGTGCACATTCAGAGCTGACTCCTTAAGATCAGTCCTTCCTGCTCCTCAGCCAATCAAAAGACTGCCCTTGTACAGCACTAAAACCTCAGTCACAGGGATCACAAGGGAGCTACATTTCTCCTTCCTCCTTCCTCTCACCCCTTTGAAATATTTCCTGTTCTCAGCAAATCATTGGGATGCATTTTGAACTCACTATACATACCCTCAACATAGAAAAGCTCTCTCGGGTCCTGGGGAGGCTTAAGTATTTTCATTTGCTTACTTCCCCACTGATATTCAAGAAAGTGTTTTGAGACTCACAGTCAACATGGCACAGCTCTCATACCATCTCACACATAAAGGCAGATAGCACAATTGCCCTCAAGTACAGTGATACAAATTCAACAAACTTTATCGGAGGTTACTGCTCGCTTAGCACTTGAATGTCTCTCAGAAGATACTGCTTGTTTAGTACTTGCTGTATTCAAGTCTGGAAGTCCAAGGAAGAGAAAGCACGAGCTATTTCACGGTTCACTTTTAAATTGTACTCTTACATAATAAAGGGACAACCCCTCCAGCTAGAATCCATCCACTTTGAGCCTCCAGTCAAGTCCAAGTTAGTGTGCAAATCTACCTCTCCGGAAGGTGCCCGCCAGAAGCCTGCAGCAAAATCCACACCCTATAATCTAACAGAGTCAATTAGGACTCCAGAATCAACTCCCCGTTATGTTAATTTAAATGTTACCATGCTACAAAAGTATGATTACCTGACTTCCTCTAACTGAGGAACTGTAGAAATCGAATGACGGGTTTGCAAAATCCAGAATTGGGGTTTAGAAAGAGATGAATGGGAATAGGACAATTTAAGGGTAGAAGAGCGTGTGACGTTTAACCACAAGACCGAAGGGAAGAAACTAAGTCCAAAGCAAGGGTAACTGATTGAAAAAGGAAAGAAGGGTAGTGAGAGAGGAGGGTGTGATGAAGTCAAAGAATAAGTTTAGGAGAGGGAGACACTGAAAGAAACGTGTGCATAAGATTATGATCAAAGAGAAATTTCCAAGTTTTGCAATATGTAGGAGTTGTGCGTGATGATGAGATCATCCTCGCCTGTGACTGAGCTGGAACGGAGCGGCTAACGCACTGGGAAGCCCAAGTGATTAAGAGGATCTCAATATGTATATCGAAATCCACAATTTTAAGACAAGAGTTTGTGGTGGAAGGGAGTGTGATGACAGGGAATACTCTTTTTATAAATGAATGAATGAATGACTAGCCACCTGCCGCTAGGAGCTAGCCAGGATGATGTATCTGGTTGGAGTAAGTCTCAGCAGGTAGACAGAGGAAAGATAAATGAGCGAAGACAGCCTGCCAAGGGGCAGGGAGGAGTAAAGAGGGCGCCTCCTCCTCCTCCTCCTCTCCTTGGACGGCTGTGTGCGTGTCTGTACAGGGCAGGGGGAGGGAGGAAGAAGGGGAGAACAGGAGCAGAGGATACGGAGGGAGGAGAACGGGCCGGGATTCCTATCACACCATCCCCAAGTTAGGGCTTCTACTTGAAGACCTCCAGGGATGGGGGGTCACTACGTCCCAGGCGGCCCATTCTGCTTTGGGGTAGCTCTGTAATGAGGGTTTTTGTTTGTTTTTTAAAGCCCGTAGATAGTTTGCTTGCTACGTATCCGTTTGCATGTTGTCTCATCCATTAGACTGTAAGCTCCTTGCGGGCAGGGGCTGTCTTTTGCCTCTTTTTGCAGCCCCAGCGCTTAGCACGTAAGAGACGCTTAATAAACGCTAACTGCCTTCCCGACATGGAGCCTGGATCGGGCAGATTCCCCCCGTCTTCCCCCCCATGCTCCCCCATCCTCCCGGACCTGTCCGGAGCCAAAGCGCTAGCCGCCACAAGAGGCTGAGCGAGGCAGGGGAAGCGCGCGTGCGCGTGCTGCCCCCCCCCCCCCGGCGCGCTCTTCGGCTCCGCTCCGCTCTCCTCCCCGACCCAAGTGGGCAGGGAGTAGCCCGGTGGGCGGCGATGGCGAGGGCGCCGGGCGGGCCTCCGAGCCGGCGTGCTGACGTCAGCGCCGCCGCGGCTGCGCAGACGAGGCCTCGGCGGCCGCGCCCAGGAGCGGGGAGGGTCCCCGGGCGCCGCGTCGCCGCCCCCGCTGCCTCGGGGCCCGTCCGCCGTCCGGCCGAGGAAGGGGGCGGCGCTGGCGGCGGCCGCGATGCACCCGAAGCTGCTGAAGAACGCGCACTACATCGAGCTGGGCAGCTACCAGTACTGGCCCGTGCTGGTGCCGCGCGGCATCCGCCTCTACACCTACGAGCAGATCCCCGTGTCGCTCAAGGACAACCCCTACATCACGGACGGCTACCGGGCCTACCTGCCCTCGCGCCTCTGCCTCAAGAGGTAGGCGCCCCGGCCCTGGCCCGCCGCGCGCCAAGACTCGCGGGCCCGCCTCAGCCTGATCTTGGGGGCGGGAGGGGGGAGGGAAAGGGGCGGGACCGGCCTGGCCCCGCCCCCTGAGCGCGGGAGGAGGGGCCGGGGTGGGAGCCCCTTGGGGGGGGGAGCGGTGCGACTGAGCCTGGGAAGACCCCCCCCCCGGGGGCGGGAGCTCCTCCTCCTGGGGGGAGGGGGCGGTTTGACATGAGTCTGGGGATGACCCAGGTCCGAGCTCTTCCTCCTCCTCCTGGGGGGGCGGGGGAGGTGCGATCTGTACCTGTCCCCTGAGCCTTCTTTCTGGCAGGTTTGGGAGTGGGATTGACCCAGCCCCCCTCCTGCTCCAGGGACTGGGGGCTGACCCGACCCTCCTCTGCTCCTCCTGGGGGAGGAGGAAACCGACCTGGCCCCTCTCCCTGCACCCAGGCAGGCCAGAGTGGGCGGCACATAACTTGAACCCCTATTCTTAGACCCTTTCAGAAGAGGCCACCCCGATGTGCCGGCACTGCTGGATGTTGGAGGGATATGCAAAAAGAGAAATGAAATAGCCCTGGACAAGCATTTATTAAGCATTACCTGTGTGCCAGACTCAGAGCTAGGCTGGGTGATGCTAAGAAAGACAAATAGTCCCTGCCCTCGGGGCAATAAATCTGCCCTAGGCAATAGTCCTCTTTCTAAGACTGTAAACTGGAGTAAAAAAGCAGGTCCATAAAAAAAAATAAATAAAGTAGCATTTATGTAACGTTTTGAGATTTGCAAAGCCCCTTAAAATATAACCTGATTTTAGCCCTTCAGCCACCGTGGATGGTAGGTGCTGCTATTGTTCCCATTTTACAAATGAGGAACCTGAAGTAGATGGGTTAAGTGGCTGGCCCAGGGTCACACAGCTAAAGCTAAGGCTGGATTTAACCCAGGTTTTTCTGACTATTGCTGTGCCACTCAGGTTCAACAACAACAAGAAAAAGAAAACAGTTGAAAATACTGTTCTGCACAGGCTGTAGACGAGAAGCAAAGAACCTGCTGCTTGGAGACCTCAGGTCCAACCCTTTGACTGGCTTGGATTTTGTCAGAGGACCTTTGGCCACCCTTGAGCACCTAGAGGGCCTTACATGGCCTAGAAGCAGCAGGTTCCCCACCCTGGTCTAGACTGCTTTTGGAAAGTGATGTGTCCTGGGGCTAAGGTGGGAGGTCCACTGGCTGTTTCTCACTGTGTCTGACTTCAGTGGCCCTCTGGGCTTCTCTATTCCTCAGTAGGGATTTTAAAGATAGTGGCATCTCATTTCTGAGTAGCCATCCTAAATTAGTAATGTTCTCCCAGCTTTGGTTCCCCTTATTTGTCCTATCTTATTCCTCTCTAGATCAGTTTATTTCAGTCTTAAATAAAACAGCCTTCCACTGCTGCAACCCTTGTCCTTTCTTCTTCCTTGTTTGTAAATGAAAAGTTTTCACTTAACAGTGTGCTCAATACATTCTCTTCTGGTAGTTGGGAAGAACTACCACATGGAGTCATAGATTTAGAGTTAAAAGAGACCTTTCCAGTCAAACTCCTTCATTTTACAGATGAGGAAACTGAACGAGACTGAGGGAGGTTGTCAAAAGAATGGCTTGTCAGGCTGCACTCTCTTTTCAAGCACAGTCTTGCAAGGCTATAACAACTTTAACAGGACTTAGACTACTTGAAAGTCTGTCTTTAGCCTAAAAGCTGAAATTCCTGAGTAACAAGCAGATGGTCCCTGCCCCAGCTTCCAGAACCATTTCATAGAATGATAGTCATAAACCTTGATGAAATCTTAACGACGGTCCCTTCAGATGAAGCCAAAGAAGTAACTTGTCCAAGGCCTCTTGGCTTTGATCCTGGAAGGGTTAGAGTGGCCGGCTAGATCCCAGATTGCCTGATTTCCAGTCAAGCCCACTTTCCATTGTACCATGTTGCCTTGGCCATTCACATTTAATCCAGTGTGTGAACACCTTTAGGGGAGTAAAGGGTAATTAAGGTTACATGACACTGTTGACCATCCCCTTCACTGGTGTTTACTCCCTGGGTTTTCATGGTACTACTTCTTGTCAGACTGAGTGTTCTCAGGCTATTTTGTAAGTCCCTCACTTGTTCCTCACCCTCATTGGGGGTGTACCAGAGGCTGTAGATTGGCTTCATTTGTAATCCTGTGCATTTTATGTTATACATTTTAAAGCATTCTGAGAAGGGAGTCTGTAGGTTTTATCAGGCTGACCGGGACACAAAAATGGTGAGGAATCCCCTGATCTAGATGTTCTTCTTCCCCCCCCCTTCCCTCCCTGTCTCTCTATTTCTCCCTCTGTCTTTCCCCTTCTCTGTTCCTCACTCCATGTCTAGTCACTGTATAAGTCTTATTCCATCCCATCTCTTGTCCTTCCCCTCTGAACACTCTTCACTTCCACAACCTTAATCCAGGTCATCATTACCTCGGGTCAGGACTATTACTATAGACTCCTAACTACTCCCCCGCTTAGGCAATCCTATCTCTATTCCATCCTTCACACAGCTGCCAAATTGATATTCCTAAAGGACAGGTTTGATCATGTCAGAGAGTCTGGTGAAGTGTGTTTCCCTATTGCCTCTAGGATAAAATGCAGACTCTATTTGGCATTTGTCTTTCATAATCTGGCTCCAGTCTGTCTTTCTGCACTGTTTGCATAAATAATTCCTTTAATAAAGACAGAACCCCCAAGTAAAAGTGATCCACAAAGCAGTAAGAACAGTCTACAGGAATGTAAAACCCAAGGCAACAAGTTTAAAAGCTGCTAGCAAGGAAGTTACTTGGGGTCTCAGAGTTTTCAGTGGTTGTTTATCTACAAAGGGCCCACAGTTGATGCCAGATCAGTCCACCTGGGAGCAGAATGACTTCAGAGAGCCCACGTCTGTTCCACAGCTTCTTGGCTTAGCACCAGCGGTCGGTGATGTGGAAATGAGATAGTAACTAAAGCTTCCCTAGTTCTGCTGGCATCCTGGCCCACACCATCTAGCCCCTGTCTGTCTGTCTATCTGTTTCTCTCTGTACCTCTCCCCCTCCTTCTGTCTTGCCCTCCTTCCCTCCCTTCCTCTCTCCCTTTCTCCTCCTCTCTACCCTTTCCAGCTCAACTCTTTGCCTTTGCCCATCCTTCTAACTCTTCTCTTCTTAAGGCTCATCATATTCAGTTCTTTCAGTGCCTTGGATGGCATGGCCTTGAGTCTCTTAACAATTTGGTTTGCCTTTGTCTGGATACACATCAGTTTGTCATTGTGCTTCCTAAAATGAGGCAGTATTGAACACCATCTTCCAGTTGTGGTCTGGAGAGGCCAGAGTTCACCATTCCTGTCAAGCTGAACTTTTGGCTGTTCCTGAATTTGACCTGCCTCTTCCTGCTGTCCCTGCATTTGTCCAGGCTGTTCTCATATGCCTAGAAGGCAGTTGTTTGAAGTGCACTTCCTCCTTTCTCTTCTGCCTCTTGTAAAATCTAGTTCCCTTCAAGGCCCTTTCTCACACATGCCCTGAATCATTTACCAAATCCTGTCCCACCTTCACATCTCTTAATGCCTCTCATTCTTGCTGTTCACTTCACAACCTCCCTAGATGAGGTTCTTATCACCCCTGGCCTACACTATTACAACAGACTCCTAATTGGTCTCCTACCATCCTGCTTCCATTCAGTTATGTATACAGCTGCCAAATTGATATTCCTACAGCACAGTGTTTGATCATATCCCCCCCTTCTTTCCTTAGGGCCTTAAATATACAATCTGGCTCCAGTTTCTTTGCCAGCTAATTACACATCACTCCTAGTGTCACACTTTGACCTAACCAAATGGATTTTTGACTCTTCCCTGTATGAGACATCCCATCTGTCCCATCAGCTTTTGCATAGCCTGTCTCTCCCCTAGACTTGGAATGTTCTCTTCCTCTGCCTCTTGAATCCCCAGCTTCCCCCCCGAGAGCTCCTTCCTTCGGGCAGTTAGTCTGGATTCTCCCCGGTGTCAGTAGATTACTTTGTAGTGCCCTTAGGATGTTACTTTGTGTTGTATCTCCCCAGTGGGAAGGCTGGGACTGACTCACTTTTCTACTTGTATCCTTAGGCTCTGTCACATAATGGCTGCTCAGCAGTGCCTGGGGACTTATTTGTTAATAGGTTGTGGACGTAGAAGGGATCTTAGGAGGTAGCTAGTCTTACCCTTTCATTTTGTAAATGAGAAAACCGTCCCAGAAGGGCTTACTCCAAGTCACACAAGGAACACGAAGCACAGCCTAGATTGGAGGCCAGTTGTCCTGACTCTAATGCTCCTGTTCTTAAATTAGGCTGAGTTAGAAGACCCGAGTTCTAGCCCCAATTCTGCCACTAACTATGTAACTCAGGTTAAGTCATTAAACTTTCCTAGGACTTATTTTCCTCATTGGTAAAATAAGTGGTAGGAGGGGGTGTGGATCCTAAGGACCCTTCCAGTTCTGCATACGTGTAATTCTTTGAAATATCGAATTATGTTTTACCTAATCTAAGCTCAGTAAACTTGTCTGGACAAGTATTGACTAATTTTCTCTTAGTTTCAAAGTCAAAGGATCAAAGTTATCAGGCTGAACAGATTTCTCAAATATTTCCCAATTCATTGGTTGCTTTTCTCAAGTTCAATGTAATATCTGCATTTGAACATCCTTAACTACTTACTACTTTGTAACTGAGCAGAGTCGATCTAGAAATCAGATTTCAGTAGGGGACCATGGTTAGGACCTTGGAGAGTGTCTTTAGACTCATTCATTTATAGATGAAAAAACTCAGGTCCCAAAAGGCTAAGACATTTGCCCGAGATCACACAGAGTAAATCAGAGAACTGGTGTTTGAACTGGGGTCTGGACTCTAAAGTCCAGCATTCTTTCTATTCTGCCATGCTGCTTCTAACCTGAGGAGCTTCATACGCAAGTGGATTTGTTAGCTATCTGCCCTCAGTCTGCAAACATTTTAAGGGTAGATAGTAAATGACCAAAACTTTCCCTATAACATTTGAATGTTGGCAGAGTGCTGGACACTTGGGATCTGAAATGACGGTGTGCTTGTTTTGCAGTTTGTTTATCTTATCCAATGAGACAGTAAACATCTGGAGTCATTTGCTGGGCTTCTTCCTCTTCTTCACACTGGGTATATATGACATGACTTCTGTATTACCTTCAGCAAGAGCTTCTAGAGAAGATTTTGTCATTTGTTCTATTTGTCTTTTCTGCTTTCAGGTAAGTAACTTTCTAAGCAGTAGTGGAGGGTGAATTGTGAGGGAATGCGAGTGATATTGGATTGCCTCAGCCATTCTGTATGCTTAAAACAGCACAGAAATAAATAGGGCAAGGTAAATAATTCACATTTTCTTGTTATTAATCTTAGCATCAAAAACCTCGTATTTTCTTTTGGACATTTGAGATCCAGGTTGTTTCCAGGATTGAGAAACTACAGTTGCACAAGCAAAAATTTCCTTCTCCCACTTAAAAAAAAAATCCCCAAAGATTCCTTCACTTAATATTATTGTAAATTTCTAAATGAGGGCAACGACTGTTTTAGCTTTTTCTTTGTAACCCCAGAATTTAGTGCGGTGCTTGGTACACAGTCAGCATTTAATAAATGTTTGTCAGTGATTTATGGTTGCAATCAGTTTTATCAGACAGTAGTAAAATGTCTAATAAGTTAGTATAAACTTGTTTTTTTCCCTCCCATTGCCTTGTGTTGGTTGCTTCTACTATTTCTATTTTTCCTAATTTTCAACATTATATTGTGCTTATCTAACTTATCCATCTTTTTTATGTTTATTTCTGATTCTGTGGAGTCTGCTTAAACTCTGATCTGACTTCAAGTGGTTAGTATTTGCTTTACCTTTTTCTCAGTCTATTCCATTTATATGTTCATAGCATTTTAAATTAGTTTTGTTTAGTATTTCAATGAGTGACCTTCTGTCTAACATCATTATTCATTTTTTATGTTACTGGATTTTCAGGAAATACAGATGTGGTTTCCAAATTTAATAATTTGTTGAGAGTATGATAAAAATTATTGTAAAAGCAAACAACATTAGAAACCTAATTTTATAGTTTTAAACAACTTGTAAACACATTGTTTTCCAAAGAGATATGACCACAAAGTAATAAGACTGATTTTCACTTGTGATAGACGAAATCAACTTTATTACTTTATACTGTAGCTAGATCATATTTTCAATTCTGTAACAATGAAAAATGACTATTATATTTGAGAAGGTTAAACTATATTCTTTGGCTGAAATACACATAAAAACATTTGTTTATCCATATATGTCATTTGTAGATTTTCTATCATACCTAAAATGTTGTCATTCATTTCAGTCATGTCCGGTTCTTCATGACCCCATTTATGGTTTTCTTGGCAAAGATATTGGAGAAGTTTGCAGTTTCCTTCTCCAGCTCATTTTACAGATGAGGAACTGAGACAAAGAAGGTTAAGTGACTTGCCCAGGGTGACACTAAGTGTCAAGGGCCTGGACTTGAACTCTGGCCCAGCACTCTGTCCACTGTGCCACCTAGCTTCCCCTTGTTGTAAACAGTATACAAATGTTCATCATCACCATCCTAGGTGGTAACTCTTAGGCTTAAAAGTTTGCTGTAATCACTAATAATCTTCATATGAAGAATCTGCCATTCCAAACATTTTTTTTCTCTCTTCAGCTCACTCTGTGGAATGGATGTATTCTTTAAAAGTGGTTTCTAACACAACTTAAACTGATCCCCTGCCCCCATTTTTTCATTATAAAATCGGAATTTTTTTCTAAAAGAAGAAACAATTTAACCCTAAGGATAATAAAAACAATACAAAAATGCAGTAAGCATACTGAGATGCTACAGCTAAAGGAAAAAAGGAAAATTAAATTTAATCATTTCTGATTAAAATATGTCACATATCTATTCCCCTACCTTCCCTCTCAAAACTGAAAATGAAAGTCCACAGACTTTGTAAACCGTTATTAGCTCCCATTGTACTTGGTGGTGGTTTTGTGCAGTTAGTGTTTAATGCAAGTCTAAATGGGCCATTACTTCCTGTCAAATCCAGACTGCCGGCCTCTTACCAATCCAGTCTCCTCTGTTAGCCATGAATTTAAATTTGGGTGTTTCTCTCTCTCTCTCTCTCTCTGTAGGTACATATATGTACAGAAACCACTGATTCCCCCTTGGTCTTTTATATTTCTCTATACATTGTATATTGTAAAAGAAAATAGTAAACTGATCAAGCAAAAGCCCCAATGACTATATCATTTGCCTTATTATCTTGCCGAAAGAGCAGGGTTGGAGAGAGCACTTGAGGACTTGGAATGGCCAGAGTGGGAAGGCAGAATGTATCCTTCCTTCTTTGACTACAGATACATTTTTTGAGACCTGCAAAACCAAGAAACACATCCCTTCCCTATGAACCAATCTCAAAGAAAAATAGTTTCTGAAGTAATATTTAAAGTTCCTTTAGAATATGTATTATTTCCTTTAGATTTATCAGAAAATTATTTTTACTTTACAGTTGAATCTTGAGATGTTTACTATTTTTTATTATGCTTAATGCCTCCTTTTAGAATCTAAATCCAATTTTATAATCAGAATCAATGAGGAAACAAATGTTTCCATAAAGTTTGTTAATAGACTTTTCAAGAACATATCCATCCTACAGAGTGAGATATAATAGTCCTTAGTAGACAAAAGTTGGAAAATATATCAAGAAAATTAAATACTTTATGTATTTTAAATTTATTCATTTTGATATTCTCTTTGTGAAAAAGTCAGACTGCAGAACAACCATCTTCTGATTTAATCAATGCTGTTAGAACCATAGATTTGGAAGGGACCCCAGAGATCAAGTCCTCTAATCCATTCACTTTATAAATGAGAGAACTGAAACTCAGGTCTACTTAGATAAACTCACACGCCTGACAGCAGCAAAGCTGGCACTAGAACTCAAGTGTCTTCACACCCAGATTTCAGCTCTTCCCACTCTGCCCTTTCCTTATTGTGCCGATTGTTGGGCCCATGGACACGATCGGATGCATTGTTTTTTGAGTCTTAGGCTATAAACCAACGTAGCTTTAAACATGCTGGTTTATCCTGGAATCAAGAAAAGCCATATTTAGTGTGTGGTTTTATCATGAAACTCTTGGTTACTTGATAAAAGATGTGATAGGTTGATATTCTTTTTTTAAAACATAGTTAATAAATGTACTGTTCTCACAACGTTACTGTGCTTAATCATTTTGATTTAATTTGATCATACATACTCTTAATAACTAAATCTTAGATAATACAGGATGTAACTTAATGATATTTTTAGATTGAGAACTTTTTTTAGATTTTTAGGTATTGGATTCAGTAATCATTGCCTTGTTTTTGGTTTTAAATTTGTCTTTTCAATGTCACTAAGCTTTGTTTTATTTTTGCTTTTTGTAGGTCTGCATGCTTTGTTCTGTAGGCTATCACCTTTTCTCTTGTCATCGTTCAGAAAAAACCTGTCGGCGATGGATGGCATTAGATTATGCCGGAATTTCTGTTGGCATACTGGGTTGCTATGTGTCAGGAGTATTTTATGCATTTTATTGTAATAATGTAAGTAACTTAAACATATTTCTTATTGGCCTTTCAATCTTTCATATTGGTGTTTCAGTTCCCAGGATGAAAGCTTGTATTTATGAGTGGTGCATAATTCACTGAGGGGGGAATATAGAATGTTTTATGTGGAAGTAGAATGTTTATTTGTAAAAGTGATTCTTGGGGTGGGAACTGAGTTCTAGAATCTGAGTCATCTTTTTTACCAATTTTACTGTTCTTTCAGTAAAGAAAACTTGTGTGCCATGGGCTGCATACATTGAGTTATTGTGTGGTCATCCAGGGTCTGTCTGTGCTGTTTGGCAATATAAGCTTCAGTACTTTCACCCTCATTTATGAAGATCCTGCCACGTGCCAGGCCCTGGTGATAGAGAGACAAAAGTGGAAAGTCCTTGCCCTTAAGGACCTCACAGTCCTGTTGGGGAAAAGTAGCAGGTACCTAGCAAGTGAAATACAAAGTGTACATGAAGTATACAGAGTACTCTCTACTGTTAATTGATGCTTAATTTTCATGTGAGTAGTAGTCACATCACTTAGTTACTCCTTAGGCATGCAGATGGCTCTGAAAACTGCATCCTTAAGTCAAAATTTTCCCCTTCTCTCCAATTCCCTATTATTGCCTGATATAGCTCTTACCACAGTCTTGCCAGTACACAAAATGAGGCTCATTATCTTCTTTTGTTTTTTTATTTCTCTGAGGACCAAAGCATTTCTCTCAATTGCACAGGTATAATTGAAAGCAAATGAAAGAAAGTTAGGTTTGTCTTCAGTACTCCAGCTTCCTCTTTCTTCATGCCTTTTCTTCTACTTTTTGGCACATCCTCAAAGCTGTACCCGCAAAGGCTTTTTTTTTTAAATCTCCATTCTGTTATCTATCTTATTAGCTATCCCTCCTCTGGAAATGAAAGTAAACTTGTATAGGCCAATAAGGCAGACAGGAAGGAGGCAAATTCAGTCTTTGACATAAGTTTCTCCCACCGGAGTGTTGGTGAAAGAGAAGACAACTCTGGAGCATTATAATAAGCTTAGGAAGCAAAGAATCCCAGTGTCCTGGAAGCATGTGCGTGCACGTGCGCACACACACATACACATACACACACACACACTCATGAGAAGAGCCAGAAATGAGTAGTTTTCTTTTCTTTTCCCTTTAGAGAATGGGATAATTTTTGTGTGTGGATAGATGGATAGATAGATAGATAGATAATTTTTGTGTGCATACACGTAGATAGACAGACAGATTGGTTTTACTTAAACTGTTTGGGGGGGGTAGGCAATGGGGTTAAGTGACTTGCTCAGGGTCACACAGCTAGTAAGTGTTATGTGTCTGAGGCTGGATTTGAACTCAGGTCCTCCTGAATCCAGGGCTGGTGCTCTATCCACTGCACCACCTAGCTGCCCCTACTTAAACTGTTATTAAACCAGGCCTTCCCCATCCTGAACATGTAGTTTAGTAGATCTGTTTTTAACCTAAGTCTAGAACTTTATATTTATCATGATATTTATTTAAGTTAGATACAGTCCAGTGCCTATGGAGATCTTTTTGAATCCTTGTTCTGTTATCTAATTCCTCCCAACTGAATGTTATCCACAGATTTAATAAACATGACTTTTGCATCTTTATCCAGATCACTGATAAAAGTGGTGAATAAGACAGCCATGGCATAGCACTGGAGACCTTCTTCCAGGTTGCACAAGGGTTCATTACTTTTTCTTTGTTGTGTTCTTCTAATGAATGGATTATTTCCTACTCACCTATGGACAATAGTGGGTTTTGTTTGTTTGTTTCTTAATAAAACTTCTACGCTCCTGAGAATTTTCATCTTAGACTAGATCTTGAGCTAAAGGATAAGGCACTGCCAGGGAAGGCCTCCTCTCACACCCTTATGGGATGTTGTTTGTCTCTTTGCTCTTTGTGCTCTAGGTAGCTTTCTCTATTTTCCCTGCCTTATCCTCTTCCCTCTTCTTTGGCTGCCAAGGACACACCTGCATCCGAAGACACACAATATCCTGTGGACCTCCAGAGAGCATGGAACTAGAGCAGGATGTTCCAGAGTGGCTGAAGAGAGAAATCAGAAGTTTGAGAGCAGAATTTAACAAGAACAGATGACCTGCACAGCAGAAGGAACTGGCAGAATAGAAAACTTGAATCCATGGTAGCAAATCTCACCAAAGATATGAAAGAGAGCAGCAGATTTAGAAACCTCACTATTCCAGAGAAGCTAAAAACTATTAAAAGAACCCATCATCTCTGTATCAGCAAAACATGTCGATATCAAAGACAAGATCCAGAGAGAAAACCTAAGTATCACAGGCCTCCCAGAGGAACATGACAGATCAACAATTCTGAACACCATATTACGAGGAAACTACCCAGAACTTCCAAACACAGAAAATAGAGCTCTAATGGAAAGAATCTACAGATTGCCACCAGGGAAATAATTGTGTGCTTCACTCTCTTAAGATACAGTGGTTAAATTTTAAAGTTCCAGTGAAAAACATTAAATGCTACAAGAGACCAGGAAAAACACTTTCAAACATTAAGGAAGATGAAATGAAATAATACAAGACTATTTTATACCCCCCAGAAACCAGAGAAGGGAATGGAATAACATATTCCAAAAGTCAAAGCAGCTTTAAGATGGTCAAAAATGATATAGTCCACAAACCTGAGCTTAATCATCAATGGAAGAAGGTGGATGTTCATTAAAAGAGGATCAGTCATTTGAAGTATCCTTGCAAAAAAAATTAAGTAAGGAAGAATGGTTAGACCTGACCACATAAGCGCGGAAGAAATCTGTGCTTTACGTTAGAGGCATCAGGCACTCCTGAATGCAGCTCAAGCCAAGTTACAATGTAATTGGGAAATATTTAACAAAATCAACAAGAGTACAATAAAACATAAGGTTAATTTCTCATATTCTAAGTCAGTTTGTGGCCCACAAGGCTCCTTATTTGTGATTTGGTGGCCCCTATTTCTATTGAATTTGACACCACTGCATTAGGTAAGAAAGACAAGAAGGGAAACGTACACAAGAATGAGAAGGATCTCCTAGTACTAACAAAAAAGGGCAATTGAAAAGTCATCCATAATAACCTATATGCCTGCTTCTCATCTCTAACATTGTTTGTTATGTGTGTATATAAGAACTGTATTATTTTAGTATATCTTTCCAAGAATTCACAAGCTAAGGAACAGCTTTTAATATGAAAAAAAGGGAATTGAATAAAAAATTTGGATTTATAATTCAGAAGCTCTAATTTCCCTGTAATTAACTAACAGAAATTCATTTATTTTTCCTTCCCCTTCTAGTACTGGCGTCAGGTCTATCTGATTATGGTGCTTGCTATGATCCTCACCGTCTTCTTTGCTCAGATTCATCCCAATTACCTCACTCAACAGTGGCACAGACTTCGTTCCATTATCTTTTGTTCAGTGTCTGGGTATGGAGTGATTCCCACCATTCACTGGGTCTGGCTCAATGGTGGTGTTGGTGCGCCTATTGTACAGGTATGTTGTTTGTGGCCAAAGCATTTTTCATTCTCTTCTATAGCTATCATCTCTTTGGGCAGGGATTTCACAGGGCGTTAGAAAACCAGGAAGGACACTGCCATCATCTGGCCACACATTTATAATTGCAGATCAGCATTGTCACTTTGTGAAGAAAGAAGGCAGGTCGTTCTTTACTAGAGTAGAAATATCTGAGTCCTTTGCCTTCTTTCCCCCTTTTATTCTGCCAGCTGAAAAGAAAATTTAAACCTATTTCACTGGTCATAATTATTTTCATTACACATTTAAAAACACACTAACAGGATTGGGATGAGGATTGACAATAATTAAGAATAAAAGATGATCAATCAGTGAGCGGGAGAAAGGAAACCAAAATGTAAATAGACATTTCTGCTATTGATTATAAACTCTTTTACTGTATTTTGGGGAGGCAGAATAACAAAGTTAAACTTATTGGCTGATAGATTTTTGAGAAAGCAGGACATGGACAAGGGGCCCATGGGATGGGTTATTGATCTGCATGGCTGAAGAGAGTTTCCTGATTGATGTCATAGATCCATTTTGTTGTTATGTTTCTTTGTATCTTAGAAACCATCATCCATAAAAATGGTTAGTGAGGATTCTAACAAAAGGCCTTTTTATTTCCCATCACTTTTTGCCATATTTTGCTAATCCTAGAGAAAAAGGATGAGAACATACATAACTACAGATCAGCTTCTTAATACTATTACCTTGGTCTATACAACTTTAATTTCAGAAATATTTAAACTGAATTGCAGTGTCTAGCACTGACACTAAACATCTGTTAGGATCATTTAGCAAGCTTGGGGGCCAGTCAGCAAGCATGTATGAAGCACCTGCCGTGTGCCTGACACTAGGCTAAATGCGCTAGGACAGACAAAAACAACACATCTACTCGTGAAGCGCTCCCATCCTGCTGGAGATTGGGACGTTCCGTTCATCTTTACACCCAGAAACGCAGAGAGAACTGTCAAGCCAATCCCCACCTAAACTTTGAAAGGGCAGCAGGGCCACCAAAGTGGTTTTCCTGAGATTGATAAAGTTAGGACAAAGATAATTACAACTAACAAGGAGTTTTACCCCGGACTTCATTCCATGTGCCGCCACACTAACACCACAAAGCACTCAGTAGTACAGGATACTCAGACTTCAGTTCTTCTTGTGGCTGAGCTGTGTATTTGATTACAATATACTATAGTGTGACATTAGACTGTAAGTGTGATAAGTGAATATCTAAATGAAACAGAAGGCACTAGTGTGGAGAGTACGTTCTGTATAACAACCCTGAAAAGTAGACAATTCAGGTATTTTATCCCCTCTTTACAGATACAGACTGGGGCCCTTGAGGGACTGACAGAGCAGTAATCAAAATTAGTGTGGTGTGGTTATTAAATACAACAACGCGAGGAAACAAACTGTCATTGCACATGTACAACAGGTGGAAGGCTTTTCCCAAGGAGGGAAAACAACACCCAACAGGAAACTAAAAAGGAGATACAGGTTTTATCAAGCAGAGAAAAAAAATGATCAGTAAAAATTGTAAAACCAGATGATACGGACGATAACAGGTGTGACAGAGGGCATGCCCATGGTAGAGAAGAGAGCCGATACTCGGGAGAAAACAGGGAACAGACTCGAGAACAGCATTTATTTGGTCAAGTAGACTTTACACCACTAACTTGTGGAATGGGACACAGAAGTGTGATACATAAGGAAGAATGAATTTAGTTCTTAGGATCCTAGATTGAGAGCTGTAGGGATCTCAGAGATCCTTGTGCCCAATCCCTTCTTTTTATGGGTGAGGAAACTTCAGGACTGTGACTTATCCAGGACCACGTAGGTAGTGACCAGGAGAGGTGAGATTTAAATCCAGGGCTTCTTGACTCCAGAGCCAGAACTCTTTCCATTACCGTGCTGCCTCTACTGTGAGTAAATGAAATCAGAACAATATCACATGGCCAGAGAGAACTGTCTTTGAACAAAGAAGCATTGGTTAAGCACTTACTGTGTGCGCTATGTGTTCTGCTAAGGGGATACAAATGCAGACACTTGGTCTTCAAGAAGCTTAAATTCTGATGTGGGAGGCTTATGGGGTGTTAGCCAGGAAAGAAGATTTTGGTTTGGAAAGTTACAGGGGGGAGGTAGGTGGCACAGTGGATAGAGTTCTGGCCTTGGAGTCAGGAGGACCCGAGTTCAAATCGGGCCTCAGACACTTAACACTTACTAGATGTGTGACCCTGGGCAAATGACTTAACCCTGATTGCCTCACCAAAAAAAAAAAAAAAGACAGTTACAGGAATGGTGAAAAGATTGACATACCCCTTCCACCAGCATTACTGATTTGATTATCATGCCAGAAGGGTGGGCAGGGTACGAGTGCATTGGCAAGGGGATGAAGTGAGGCACAGCTGGCCTGATACAGTGGACTATGTATGAGCCACTAATCAGGACCTCAGAGGCCCCAGGGGAGAGCTGTAGAACTGAAAGCATTAAGCACTCCAGGAATTATGATTGATCACTGCATTAATCCTAGTTCTTAAGTCTCTCACAGTTGTCCTTTACATTGTAAGAATGGTAGATTGTTCTCCTGTTTCTGCTCACTTCACTTTGCATCAGTTCATACAAGTCTTCCCAATTTTCTCTGAATCCAACCCTTCTATCATTTTCTACAGTGCAGTAATATCCTACTATATTCATATATAATAATCTATTCAGCCATTTCCTATTATTGGGCACACACCTTGTTTCTAATTTTTTGCTATGAACTGTCTTCCAAAGTAGCCCCTTCCACTTCTGGATGTCTCTCATTATTTGGAATTTTTTCATTGCCTCAAGTCTAAATCTGCCTCTCCATGTTTTCTACCCACAATTTCTAATCTGGAACCAAGCAGAATAAATCAGATCTCTCTGCCCTGTGATAGATCCAAATGCCTGCCTTCTCCCCACTTAGAGCTTCTCTTCTCCAAGTTAAGCATCCCATGTTCCTTTAGCTGAATCAATATTGTATGATTTCGAGGTCCTCCACCATCCTGTTCACGTTCTTTCATGTACTTTTCAGCTTATTGATGTCCTTTTGTGAAAGGTTCCCAGAACATTCTGCTGTTTGTTCTGTGCATATTTGCCTTTTCCTCATAAATGCCAACTTTATACCAACAAAGAGTGTTACCCAATTTATGTACTCTATATCTTGCATCCTCCTCCCTAGTTATTCCTGGACACTGTTTAAAATTCACTTACAATTCTGTCCAAGATTGGTTTTTTAGCTGCCAGATCACCTCAGTGACTCATATTTAGCTTGTATTCCACTTAAACACCCAGTTGTTTTTCAGATGAAATGCTATGTAGAATGGACATAAAAAAAGAAGGTACCACGTGAGTAATTGGTTCTAAACTAGTAAGATGAAATATAATTGCAATAAATAAATATAAAGAGCCAGTATGTACTTATATTGGGGGGGCAGTGGGGTTAGAAGGAATCAAATACCTAAGTGCTGTTTTAAATTTGACTTTAGAAATCGATATTAAAAAAAAAGATATAAATCTTACCATAACTTAATCAATAGTATGATTCAGTTGCCCAAAAAATTCATTAATTAAAAGACCCACACACCCCCTCCCTAAATGAATATATCCTCAGGCTACACAAATAGACCACTTGATGAAGGGAATTTTGTCTTGAATTCTGTACTGTTTAGACCACATTGGAGTATTGCGTGGGCACTAGAGCGTTAGAGGGAGTTAGAGAAAGCAGAGCAAATGTGGAACCTGGCTAAGATGGCGATGGGTCTGAAAACCATGGACTGTTTAGGGGAGCCAGTCTCCAAAAGGGTCATTTGTTAAAGAGGTTGGATGATGGAACAGGCCTCAGAAGTGATGAGCTTTCCACCTTTCACAGATGTTGTAGCAGTTCCTACATTTGGCTCTGCTACTCCAGAGGTCCTTCTGACTGGAGAGTCATTGATCAAGTCTTTGTGTTCTGGATGAAGCCCCTTAGACGTGTGGTACTTTCTTTTGCTTCCATTATATTCATATGGCCGATGTGGAATTGGGCTCTCTGTTGGAGCTGAGCTAGTCCCAGAATTGGCATCCTGCCTTTCCTCCCATGTGTATTACTGCAGTGCTCTGTGCTTCAGGGGAGAATTATGGTTATAAGTGCAGCATGGATTGTCACCCTGGCATATGTGCTCTCATTTGCAGGAGTTTGCGCCTCGTGTGATTGTGATGTATGTGATCGCTCTTGTTGCTTTCCTCTTCTATATCTCCAAAGTCCCAGAAAGATACTTTCCAGGTATGTGGCTCTATGAGAGTGCTAGACCTGCCTCATTTGAAAAACTCCATTAAAAAGTGTTTATCTGATAGTCTTTCACAGTATGACTATCATGGAAGTGTTGTGCACGACCGCACATGTAATCCCTATATCAGATTGCTTTCTCAGTGGAGGGAGGAAGGGAGAGAATTTGGAACTCAAAGTTGTAAACACGAATGTTTAAAATTGTTTTTATATGCAACAGGGAAATAAGATATACAGGCAAAGGGGTATTGAAATTTATCCTGCCCTACAGGAAAATAGAAGGGATAGGAGAGTGGTGATAGAAGGGGGGGCAGATTGGGGGAAAGAGTATTCAGAAAGCAAGTCGTCTTGGGGCAGGGGGAGGGGAGAGATGGAGAGAAAATTTGGAACTCAAAATCCTGTGGAAGTGAATGTTGAAAACTAAAAACAAATTAATAAAAAAAGAAAAAAATTGTTTATCAAAGCATGAGAACAAATTCTCCCCACACTCCCAAGAGATGACTTTTGTCGCATGAGTACCTTTACCTTTTATAGGTTAAAACAAGAAGCTATGACTAAAAAGTTTTCCTTTCTCATATTAGCCATATATCTCCCTTCAAGAACTCTGAGACTTACTAGGTCTGTTAAAGTGGTTGAGCCTGGTGGGCTGCTCTTGCAAGGCCAAAGGTAAAAAAGTAATGTCCGTACCAGCACCTTGAATTGGTAATTAGGTATATTTTTTTTCTCCTGTTTATCCTTATAGGACAGCTAAACTACCTCGGGTCGAGCCACCAAATATGGCACATCCTTGCAGTGATCATGTTGTATTGGTGGCATCAGTCCACAGTGACTGTCATGCGGTACAGACACAGCAAGCCTTGTCCTGACTATATTCCACATTTGTGAATGCAGGTATGGCAACCTGGTATAGTCAAATGTCGAGCAATATTAGATGGTGGAAACTGTCTATTCTTAATACTTCGAATGTGCTGTTTTTCTTTTGTTATCTTAAGGTGTGTATCATGATTAATATTTTGTGAAAGTTTTAAAAAATACACTCAGGGGGATTTATAGTTGCCCAGTAAGTAACTTAATGGGCCTCACAACTTATTTAATTTTGCTGTATGTATTCAGCTTCTCACGTATGCCAACTTAACAACAACAAAGAGTGTTAAACCAATCTATATCGTTGAAAATGAAGTTATTTTATTTACCAGCTTTATTTCTCTAGGAAGCATTCAACATTACTGGAAGATGGCATCTGTGACTACAGAATTATTCTTGTATTCACCCCTATTGTTTATAAACGAAGATAAAAAAAAAGTCAAGTTTAAGTGCCTGATCAAGCCAATAATAGCCTGAGTACTAGAGTAGTGGATCTGAATAATCATTTGGATTTGACTTAAGTTTACAACAAGGTCTCTTTTTTTTTCCTTTACTTTGAAAATACTAATTATCAAATGGTTGTGTTGTATAGGTTTTCAGAAGAACATTGCCCCTTTCAGGTTTTAGGGTTTGTCATAATAAACTTTTTTGTTACCTCCCATGAATTTTAGCTCTGAAACTTGATTTTAAACAAGCTTGGAATATATACAGATGTAGATTAACTATATGGTCATTCTCATTGGAAACTAAGATGATTTAGCAATGAGACCATATTCTTATTATTAGATCAGCCACAATAGCTAATTTCATCTGTCTTTCCAAGCTTTGAACATTAATGCAAAGAAAGGGCCCCAGAATTCCCCAGAGCTGGAGTCATGCTAAGCATTCACACATGTAACCATTTTCCTAGAAACTGAGGATCAAAATTCCTGATAAAAGATCCCAGCTTCATAGGAGTATTGCCAAGGCTTCATTTTGAAATCAGCCGTTAGCTTTGGAGTAAAAGCACTGATTCTCAAAGTTCTTGGTCTTAGGACCCCTTTTACACTCTTAAAAATTGAGGATTCCAAAACGTCTTTGTGGATTGTATCTATTGATGCTTTTTTTTAGAAATAAAACATCTTGGTATTATTACGACAATAGGTTTTATTTCTTGGCTGTCTTAAAGGGTTCCAGGGAACTCCAACCACACTTTGAGAACCACTGGAGTACAGTAATACAAGTACCCAATTGGATTAGTTATGGTTCTTCATACTCTTGTCCCCTAATGTTAGCATTGTGATTATACTACAGTATTGTCATAGAAATAACCAATATTTGGAGTCTCAAAATTGGAATTATTTCCATTTATGTACTTAGACATGCAATCTCAGTGTTCTGTCAAAGAAATGTTTTGGATTCTCTTGTTCTAATATACATAAGATAAACACTGAAGAACAAGAGGGCTATGGTGTTAAAATGTAATGCTTCAAAAGTTAAATTGAAAACTTGAACAGGCTTTTAAAAAATAAACTATACTTCATGAGTTAATAGTGTATTTGAAGAAAATTAGAATTGCTCGACTTTCCTAAGGAATGTTGAATAACACATTCAAATTATACATCTGGTATGACCTTTAGAATGCTAATTTTGCCTTCATTTATCCATCTAGAAAATGGAAATGTTAACTTTTCTCCCCCAGCTTTTGAGATACTCAAGTGCAGTATATAGGTAAAGTTTCCTTTTTTTTTTTTTTGTTAAAGAAACAGCGTTTCACATTTTCCGGTGGCACTCCCACTTTGAAAATGGCTATACAGTAGTTAACCCCATCATGCCTTTAGAAAGCTCCTCAAAACATTGGCTGTATATCCTCTCAAGCATTTCTTATTTTAACATTTTTGCCTTCAAACAATCAATCATTTTGCCTTCTTGGGCAAAGGAAAAAGGATCTGTGCTATGCCACAGTAGTTACAGGTAACTTAAAGAGTTCATCTGGGTCTTCAACCTGATTATTGTCAAGTCTCTTCAGCATAAACAAATAAATTTGTTCTTTGCAACATTATTTGATACTTATACAATGGCATGAGCAAGGTTTTTTAAATGGACTATACTAGTCTCGGGGAGAATTGTATAAGAAACATCTCAACACTTAAAGCCTTTATTCTTGTAAATTTTGTACTACTTGTAAATCTTAATGTGGTATATTTATTTGTTGAGGTGTTAATGAATGTAGGTTGCAAACAACTCTAAACACTTCAGTTTGTCAATACTGACTGACCACTACTTGTGTGTGAACTCCACACTGGTATTTTTAGAAGTCTTATTAGTTAACATTAAATGACTACTTACAACTTGCCTCCCAAATTTGAGCCTTTATAAATGTACATCTGTTCATTTTATTTTCCAAACTTGTCAGTAAAGCAAGTTTAAAAGCGCACTAATATTCTAATTACTAATAAAACTTGAGTTCTGCCAGGATCAGAAGCTGCTTTAAACTGTAGACTAAAAAATTTTTTTTAAGTTTGGAGCCATTTTGAATTTTGTATAGTAATTTATGGGTTAGTAGTCAACTAGCTTTAATAACACAAGTATCTTTGTATAAAGTCAAGCCATTAGCAACAAGTAGCAAAGATATTGTCGCTTTGTGTTTATACTGAGTGCAATTTACAGTGGGCTGCATGGAAAAAATATGTATTCTGTAAATAAATGGGATTTATTAAAACATATTTATGAGTGTCTTTCTAAAAACTGTTTTTAAATTTGAGTTACAAGGAGCCATAGTTTAATCCCCACACTCAAAGCATGAGTCCATTCTACATAGCAAGTCATCTAATACAGCTGTGTTGACATTAAATGTATCCAGTGAGGAGGAAATGTCTTTCCTGTGGAGGCAGTTCATTCTGGTTTGGTATAGCTCTCATTGAGAGGGAATCTTCTCTGACTGTTGAGCTAAAATCTGGTTTCCTGTCAGTCATTCCGACCCATCCCCATTGGCTGCCCTGCCTCCCCACGGGACAGCCCTTCAAGGTTCCAACCCAACATTGTGACCACCCACTTTAGGATGAGCTCTGACCACACTATTGTAGTTGCTGCCACGTAACGTTGCTGACTCATCCTGAACCCATGGGCCGCTAAAACTTTCTGTTTCTCCCACTTCCCTTAACTTTTGTAGTTTGTTTTTTAAATCAGATATGGGACTTATCACTTATTCCTATTAAATTTCATCTTATTAGCCTAGGAGTCAGTGTGGTATTTTTAAGAGAGAACAGGCCCTGGAGCCCAAGTCCCGCCTCTGCCTAGCTGGGTGACCTGGGGCAAGGCTCTGAAGACTTTAAGTTGTAAAAGGACTTTCCTCATCTGTGTTGCCTGTACCAGCTCAATCACAGGTACAATCCCCATCTTATTATATTTGATCTCGGTAACTTTTCATCATCCCCAAATCTAAAAGAATTCCATCTAAGTCAGTGGTTCTCAAACTTTTGGTCTCAGGACCCCTTTTACACTCTCTTAAAAACTGATGACCTCAGAGAGCTTTTGTTTATGTGGATTACATTGATATTTATCATATTAGAAATAAAAACATCTTAGTTTCATTTTGAAAATAATTTTGACCTCAGAGACCCCCGGCTTTACCATGTCTTAGACCATGCTATGAAGAGTCACATGGAGGTCTAATTAAATCTAAGGTCATTGGCAAAAACATGTGAAAAAGAAATAGGCTCATAACAAAACCATCATACCCTCTGTTAAACAGAGCTAACCAAGTTGATGCAGTCTATTAGCTAGATATGGACCTACCTTACGATACTATTTACTACCCAGTCTACAAGGATGTCTTGCTAAAATTCAACACCCATAATCACTCCTCTGATCTACCAACTTAGTAACCTTGCCTAAATTTTACTATTTATTACTTGAGTCACATGGAGGTCTAATTAAATCTAAGAACTATTATAAGAAAAAATAAGTGCTTCTGCCCCAAGACTCTCATTCTGAACAAAAGTGCCCTTCATGAGTAACCAATATGACAATCACCTGTGGTTTGAATAGAAAGTTTCAGGATTTCACACACAACCAACACACCAAACTAGCAGATACCTTACCTTTAATATCAATAAAATTCTGGCATGGTCAGCAGGTCTTGGCTAAATTCTGGTCAGTTTTTCTATGACAGGGTTTACCAGTTTTCAAAGAAACTAAACATTATGTGAAGCTAAAGATTATACAGAATGCAGTTTAATCTTTGATTCAAAAGTCACTTCAAGAACTTGTGCTTCATCATCATTGTGAACATCCATTATAACAATACTAGCAAAGCAGACCTGTCCTAGAACTGTCAGAAAATCCAACTTTGTCATTTTAATTCCCCAAAGTTTACATTAGAAAATCTTTTTTTAAAGGATGAACTCAATCAATAACATAGTCATTGGTTGTTTGTATAGAATACTGAATCCAATTGAAATTTATTGCATTAAAAAGGAAATAGAATATTAGTCATCAAGTATGATAAACACAATTAGAAAATAATTCTTAAAATTTCAAATAAAATGAAAGACATGTTTGGCAAGCAATTAAGACAGTTATGTAGTAAATGTTTTCTATTTAGTGCTTAGAGAAAACTAACTGATCATGAACTTTAGTTATTTCCCAGTTGTATTTGGTCATTGAAGATTTGGCCTGTCTACTTTGTAATAATCACAGATAGTGTAAAGACAGAAATATGGTAAAGATGGTAGACTACTGGGCCTTACTGTGTGCCCTGTGATTGCTCCCAAAGGTCCACTTGCCATTATGCCCTCTAGACCCACCTCTGTTGCCATCTGACCCCCCACTGCACCCCATGGACCACTGGGCCTTTCTGCCTTGCAACTAACAGCTCCTGCATGGGTTGTCTTCTCTCATTAGAACGTGAGCTCCCAAGAGCATGGACCATCTTACTTTTCTCTTTGTATTCCTAGTGCCTAGCACAGTGCTTGGCAGGTAGCAAGCGCTTCATAAACGCTTTTCCATTCCATATACACGTATCAATTCTGTCTAGAAGTCAAAGTTGTTTAGCGGTACACAAAAAAAACTCAAGTTTAACAACAACAAAAAAGTAGATGAAATCAAAGAAAGTGCACTTAAAGCAGTTGGCCAGCAATTTTAAAATAGCTTTTAAACAGTTTACTATTTGATGGCATTTCAATCACAGAAACAACTTAGTAATATAAACATTTGTTTATTTTTTTCTCTCAAGAGTAGCACTAAAACAAAACAAAATAAAAGACACACCTAACATTACCCTTTGCATTTGCATCCTGCTTTTTAATTTAGTGGCTTTTGTTCACTCACTAGGAACTGATTTTCTCCTAGTCATATGAAAATGATTGTTGTTGCAATGACATTTTTAAAAAATTCACATTAACTCTACAGTAGTAAAATGTGATAGGTGCATGCATGTGTGTATATATTGATAAATAAAACGAGTATAAAAATTTTCAGATAAACAGTATCAGTTGTGGTGTTCTCACAGTAAACATGTCATCTCATTCTCACAGTAGATGTGTCATCTCAATATCTGGATCTGATTAACAATGAAAAAAATACTTCCAATAACGGAGTTTCTCTCTCTCTCTCTCTCTCTCTCTCTCTCTCTCTCTCTCACACATACACACACACACACACACACACACACACACACACACACAATTAGTGGGGAAATGAAAATGTCACCTACCATTGTGTATGTCCATTATACACCCTTAGTCCAAAATCCCTCAGAGCTAGTAATTTTTGCTCACAGTTAGAACAGATTAAGCCGAGAATGGATTCTAGTACCATTGTGATACCCAGTGCCAATGGGCAATACTTAATATCTTAGAAAAGTCAGCAGAGTGGCTGAGATACTCAAGGCCTAATGAGTATCAAAATAAAAGAACAGGCTCTTAAAGAGGAAGATAGTCACTTAATTATCATTGTTAAGTGGGACATGACTAATATTGCATCCACCTGTTTACCCCAGATATGGTCACACAACATTTTATACATATATATACACACATACATACACATAAAGCTGGGGGGGAGGGGCGAAGGAGGAGGAGAGGAAGAAAGCTGCAATATTTCTGTATTGATGTCTTTTTTTCCTAAAGAACAATAACGCTACTCAATTATAATTTTGATCATTCTCAATATCTACATCTTTTTCCTTACCTGAATGCACAACCACCAAGTAAAATCTCTTTGATCCTATCGAGTTACCTCAATAATCTTAACATGAAAATAGTTTTGGGAGCAAGGTCAAGATCTGTTATTAGGGACCTCTCAGTAAGGATGCAGGTCATCGATTGTTCTGCAAGATAGAGTCTTAGGGAATTGCCTGAAGGTACTGACAAGTTCAGGGCCTTGCCTATCCATTGTCATAAGCCAGTATATGACAAGCAGAACCCGAATCCAGTTCTTCTTCATTCCAAGACACATTCTCTATCCACTATGCCAGGTTACTTTTGTGGTGAATGTGATAGAAACATCAAAACAGTCAACTAGAAAAATGGATCATTTTTTTAAAAAATAATCATTAGCAAGCAATTAGCAATATTAAAGCTATTAATAAAGAATTTTGAAATTTTATGAATTTTGTCAGTTTAAAAGAGACACCCTTCTGTATCCCTCGATATTGCTAAAATGCATTAGAATTTGGAGTTAAGACTATTTTCTTAAATCATTAAAGGAGTACAAGGCAAAGAAGAGAAAGACTAAGACAAAGTAAAATCTCTTAAGTTTCTTGCTATAAATAACCAAGGTTGAACTAACTGAAGAACCTGATTTGATTGGTGTGGGAACTTCCTCCTTGAATTGATAGAGCATTGCCAGCTACTGTATGTTATCTGTAGAGCCGTGCATAGTGGGATGGATAGTCTGCCTTTAGGCCCTTTTCTGAAGGACAGAGTAACAAGAATATGGAGAGAGAAAACAGTGGCCCATCTTTTCTTGAAAATGGCTAATGGCTCAACATCAAAGGAACCTGCCAGGTCTCTGAAGGTAAGTTGACCCTGACTGGTAGGCTAGCTTTTATTCAGGACTTCCCTTCAAAAAGAGAAAGCCCTTGTTTGGGTCACTCTACACTGAAGAAGCATATCATAAAAAGTTTAAGAGTGCTGTCTACAAGACCCTTCAACGTAGTTATCACTTAGACAACATGGCAAGCCTAAGAGGCCTTCACTACCTCGATCGAAGCGTTGCCATACTGAAAGGCAAGTAAACAGGACCTAAAAATTCAAGATGATGAACAAGATTTACTTTCTTTCTCTAGTCCACTTAGAATTACTAAGGACACACACATCGCCGCCCCTGTTTTCGAAAGTTAACAACTTAATGGATTCTGGCATATACCCAGGAGCCAAAAACCTAAAGCTATCATCAGAGATGGACGGTGCACATACATGAAGGCATACATGCATATGTTATCTATATTTATGTATTTGGCCTGACATTGTCTGTTCACCTACTGTAACCCATGAATTTGCCATGTGGAATAATTAGTTCTTGCACCTCTCTCACCCACTCTCATACCTCAATTATTAGGGTACATCTTTTCCCCCCATCTGACTGTAAGCTCCTTGCAAACTGTGTTCCAACTTTGTTATACATCCCAGTGCCTAGCACAATGCCTTAAATACAGTGGGTGTTTAATATTTGTTGAATCCAATTCTTTTCACTTTTAAATAATTTCGGTATATTTTCTTTTTAACTGGCATCCACTTGAAGTTGAGTAAATTATTTTCATCAACCTGAGAATTTAAAAAAACAAAAACAGGTGCAAACATATTTGCCTTTGGCACAAAGAAGAAACAAATGATAAAGTCTAACAGAGCAACCAAGTTCAGTTCCAAGTCAAAGTAGCAAGTGAATACTAGCCTGCTGCCACCCTATAAATAACTCTGCATATTGACCTTAGCACAGCTTTTACCGTGAGTTGGCATTTTCTAGAAAACAGAAAAAAATGAAGGAATAAAGAGACAGGTATAAAATTACACATAGATTTGGCTTCTTTCCAAAGTTAGTTGACTTCTTTCCATGAAAACTTGCAAACAGCCCATCTCAATGGGGTACTATTGCCAAGAAGGCTAACTCAATTACTAATAGAAATTCATTACAAGGGCTCCAAAAGAGCTGAATTTAAAATTTAAAAAAAAAATCAAGAATTCAAACTGATTGGGTTTTTTTCCCCTTTTTGGGACATCTTGAAAGTTTCGAGAAATTTCTAATTGTTGCTCTGTCAATCCAATGCTAAATTCAGAAAAGAGCCATTTAAATAGTCTTAAATTGTTTTCATCCATTTTGACAATGAGGGGAGGAAGAGTAGTGAGAACACCAGAGATACATATACAAACTTTCACATAGATGTTCAGTCATTCACATTTGTAATTTCTACCTTACAGACATGATGAAAATTTCTGTGAACATTTCAAGTTTCCAAGCAGGATTTGTGGTACTGAGAAAAATAATTTGGTAACTAAGATCTTTTCATGAAAAGTGGATTGACACACATTAACCTCTCAGTGCCTAATGCTTTTGCATTCCTTTTTAGAAGAATTGTGTGCATCTTTTGGAAAAGAGGTACTTTAATTAAGGTGGAGGTACTTGTTGCAGGTGTGGGGTCCTGCCTGTAAGGCTCTGTGGCATGCTATGAAGTTGCCCAATTGAACAGGACCAGACTTCCAAGAACTACCTGTAGTTTGCTCCTCTGCTGCACCTGTCTGTTAACTAGTGTCACATGCACTTCACCTCAGTGCATTTGGCAAATACTACTATTACCCTCCAAAAATAAAATAATTTTCACATGAGCAACATATAATAGTAAACAAAATGTTAAATGCAACACGATTTATATATAAAATTTCTGCAATAAAATCACTCATGAAATGAAATTATTTTAGCTACATCCCCTAATTTTTCATAGGATAAAATGTCTGCATAATTCTCTTGTTTGTCTTCACCCAATGTTTTGCTGTATTATGGGGGCATTACTGAAGCACTGGCTAAATCAGCCCTTCATCATTAATGGATACATTTTCATAAGTGCTGATTATGCTGGCGGCTTCCCTACCAAGTTTTCCTACATTCATGCTTTTTAAAAAATTTTCTTCAACAGATTCTCCTTATCTTTAGTTTCCATTTTAGGCATGTGTGTAGTTTTTAAATATATTAATGGCACTTACTGTAAAGAATAAAAGATGTCAGGCACAAGTCAGTCACCTCTGGCTCTGCATGTACAAGATCTGAAGCCAATGAGTTCTACATGGAGACCTACAGCTTTTTAATCTTTTAGAGATTTAACTTGTTTTGACTCAGCCCGGGTTTACATCTAATTCGTAATGCTGGATTCTGACTGGGCCAGAGCTATGCATCCAAGAAGCATCACTCTGTTATACGTATAAAATGTTAGACCTTTTTTTTCCCCTCCTCCTTTATTGTCCCAGGAGTGGAAAGGCAGCACAAAGTGCAAAAGTTAATTATCTCCAAAGGCTCTCTCACTGTTTTAGTGAAACAGCCCTCGTTTCTGTGCCAGAAAGTTAGCAGCTAAAATGATTGTTAGGGCTCATATCTGCTACCCTTTCTCCTCTTCAGAAGGAACCCCCACATTCAGAGGGCCCAAGTTTCTACCCTGTTGAGATACTTCCTCTTCCATTTGGTTTATACAAAATCAAATAATTTTAAATCTATTCTAATTGACCTGCAGTAATGAGTGGTACAAAGAGCGATACAAATTGTCTTCTTGAAAATTCATAAAACAAACTTCACTTTTTAAAAATTGGAGTCAATGAAAAAAGTTTTGTTGGAAGCATCTACTGCTTAGAAGGAAATGGAGCAGCACCAAATGGATCTAGCTCTCCTTGGTGGGCCTGCGGGGGCTGCTGCGGCGTGACGCTTTGTATCACAAGTTCTGTGAAGGGCACCGCCCCAAAGTCGTCCGTTTTCAATCCTTCTACACTATGAAAGGACCCATGTAATGAGCTCTGCCTCGGTCTCCCAGGCAAGGCCGTACTGTGGTCCCCACGGTTATCACTCAGGCCTTGATGGGAGGGGTGCCGCATCAAGTCTGGAGGATGGAAGGGTTTGGCACCAAAAGGATCCAGCAGGTTCTCTTCAGATGGCAGGGTACTCCCTCTGTCTTTACTGTCAGTCAGTGCCACGCTGATGTTTTCCTTAGAATCTGATATAGTTAAAAATTCATTGCTGCTCTGAGAATCTCGCCGACCTCCTTTCTTGTGCCTGCGGACCCTCTCCGGCGTCCGATAGGTGGGCTTGGGAGTCTTCTTGGTGCTCGTCGGGGTGCCGTGATGTCGCTTCCCGTTGCTTTTCGACACCTCCTGTTTTAGGCGCCTTTGGCGGGAGGACAGTCTCTGCAGGCTTCGCTGTTTCACTTTTTGCTGCTGCTGACACCCAGCTATCTCCTCAAAAGGCACAAGCCCAAAAAGGTCCTCTTTGCTTTCACTTTCACGCGTGGCCGGGGGCAAGGGTTGAAAGGGAGTGCAGCCAAATATGTCCACACTTCTGGGGCATGCGGGGAGAGTCTGTGCCCAAGACCTGGCCGCGGGGCAATCCTGCACTGTCGCCTTCTTGCCGAAGGGCGCCTTTGTGAATACGTCGAAGTCATCCTGCTCAGCTGCCACACTGTGAAAAACAGTCTGTGCGGACAAGTCTTTTTCATTTGTTTCTTTGTGCTGAGGCTGCCGAGCGTGAAGCGCAAAGAACGGGACTGAGCCGAACGCATCAAACTCCTGCCTGGGGGTGACTCGTCCTCCAGCAGGAGGGAACAGCGTCGGGCTGGGGAGGGGCACCCTGGGAGCTCTGGCCTGGCCACTACCAGCTCGGCCTCCATAGCTACTGAGAGGGCTTCCGTCGGCATAGTTCGCTTTGGTATGGTCACAATCTGAATCAGAGCTATGTTTTTCTTCCTCCTCCTCATCTTCAGAATCCATGAGAAGAGGCCTGTGACCCAAATTCTCTGGTTCAGTGTCATCATCATTGAAATCCCCTTGCTCTCCTTGAAGAACATCTTCATCTTCATGTTCTTCGTCTTCACTGCTCTTGGGAGAAGGAGGATCTGATTCAAAATCACTTTCAGACTCGTCGCTCCTCTTCTGCATCTGCCCCCGTGCCGAAGAGGCATCTTCAGTCTTGCTTCCATTCTGGTCATCTTTAGATGCCTGGTTTGTTTTTAGATCTTTGACGGAGTTCCCTATGCTATTTTCTTGACTGCTAGATGAATGTTCAACCTTCTTTTCAGGAGAACCTGCAGGTCCAAAGAAAAATTAATAAAGCATTTCAAATGCAAAAAAAAATGTTCACATTAAGCACCAGCAGTATAAACTTTGGAATTTTTCATGCCAGTCACTTTTGGGGAACAGGAAGGGACTCCCTACTGTGTTTTTGTTATTAGACTTACATTGATCCTATAGCACTTAAGTGATGACATTTTTAACGTACAAATTATGCTCAAAGTCTACTAAATATATATATCAACATTTTATAGAGTAACTGGTATTTGTGGTTGTATTCTACAACAATTTTATATTAAGTAGGAGTATGTACATACACAAATATGTATTTCAATGTGTTGTCCCTTGTGCACAAAGGAGGTACAACTAACTGATCCACCGCTGAGAGGACAGAATCTTGTTCTCCCTTGTACTGGAGGACTGGCCCTATAAAATTGGTTCTTTCGTCTTACAAGCAAAAAGCAAATATTTCTAGACAATTAATTGGCTAGGGCCAAGTGTCACAAAATACAACAGATCTCAGACTATACAATGATCCAACCTGACCCTGGCCTCATTAGTAGAGTGCTGAACAACTGATCTTACTAGTCATGAATATACACATATATTCTCTCTACATATATGTACACATGCATACAGACACAAAGTAGATCTAAAAGGGCTCTCAGACACACATCATATTAAGCCTTAAATCTGAAAAAGGTACATATGTTTCAGCCGGACATTTATTAAATACAGTAAAAGCTCAGTTCTTTGCCTAACGATTTTCATTTTTATCTTGTTAGAAACTTGCTAAATTATTTAAAGTCTTGCTTGCTTAGTGTCTTGAAAATAATCCAAAATGATGTGCTACCTATGTGTTTAGTCATCAATGGCTACAATTTAAATGCTGGTGCAGGGATACAAAATATGAACACTAGTTCTGAAATTACTGTCATCAACAATTCATGTTGCAAACCCAATGACATCATTTTGCACCAGCCCCACTACCGTTACTGCTGCTGCTGCTGCTACTACTGTGCCAAGTGGTTTACAAAATTATTATTTCACTTGATCCTCACAACCACCCAGGGAGGTAGGTGCTATTATTATCCTCATTTTACAGATGAGAAAACTGAGGCAAACAGGAGTTAAATTACTTGCCCAGGGTCATACAGTTAGGAGGTGTATGAGATCATATTTCAAAACTTAGGTTTTCCTGCCTCCAGGTCCAGTGTTCTTAACTACTGGGCCAATCAGCTGTCCCAATTATATTGCTGATTTTTACTGGTAAATAATCAAGTGACTACAACAATGTTTGGCCTGGAGTATCCTAGTTAATTATCAAATATGCCATGCAAGAATTTTAAAAGGATGAAATAAATATTTGTATTTATTAAATCACAGATTTTCTGAGTCTATAAGCACTGTGCATATACAAAGTCACCCACAGGTATAATAATGTACGGCAGGTATACAGCTGTCATTTTAAAGCTATTTACGTCCTTTTTAGAATGTCATTTCATTCTTTTACATGCACACCGTAGCCAATGCTACCTTGAAAGCCACGCACACTCACTCTTCTGGAACAGCTAGCTCCTCTCCTTATCAAATGCTGCTCTGGTTCCCAACACAATTCTTTCAGACACCTCTCACTGCTGAGGCTAAGCTGCTGTCTTAGCAACACGCACAAAGGCTTCCTGGTTCTGCCTATGGCCAGGCAAAACAAGCTGAATCCCTCTTTCATGTGACAACTCTTTTCCCACCTCCTCCATGAGCCTTCTCCTCTCTACGCCAGATCCCTCTAGCTCCTCTGACCCATCTTCATGACATGATTTTAAGGCCCTCTGCTACCCTCGGGACGATTAGCAGCTTGTCTCTGCCCTTCCTAACATGTGGCAGCCAGACCATAAGGCTCTTCTAGATATGGGCTCTGATCGGGGCACAGCAGGGGGCCTGGCAGGCCTGTCACTTGCTTGCTTGCCCAAGGTAAGAGTTCTCTTCAGTTCAACTTAAAATCACAGGCGCCTCTTTTGGTTATTTCGCACTCCTGACTCATGTGGATCTCACTGTCCAAAAAACCCAGAAATCTTTTTCAGAGGAGCTGCTGCCTAGACGCACCTTCCCAATCTAACCAAAGGATAAGACTTTACATTTGTTCCCATATTTAATCTTACTAGATTCAGCCGAATGTTTCTGGAGCGTAACTTGCCATTTTGTGTGTCAGCTACCCTTCCCAGCTGTGCGCCATCAGCATACACACGCCATCTATGCCCTTACCTGAATCATTAAGAGAAAAGGAACTGGACCTGAGATTTCACTCATTTAAGCCCAATCCATATCTTTTTTGCTCCTATCTTCATGCATTACCTCACTTAAGAGAGAAGAGGTAAGCCCCATGGTCACAAAGCTGGTAACTCAGGGGCTGAGATCCGACTCCAAGCCCATTCTTTCTGCTCTACTGTGCTTCTGAGCACACCAAAACTCCCTGCCTTCAAGGGATCTAATCTTCCTTTCAGACTAGGGCTTCTTAAACTGGGATTCACAGCCTCCAGAGGTATGTGGACAGGAAAAAAGCACATCTTATTTAAATAGACTTGGCTCTGTTTGTAATCCTAGCTGTTTTATTTTGATTTTAAATGCTTTTAAAACACACTCTGAGCAGAGAACCTCATCTGAGGACTGTGCATTTCAAGTCAGAGGGAACCTCAGAGAGCACCTAGTCCCCCCTCTTCATCTTGCAGATAAGGAAACTGAGGGCCAAAGAGGCTAAGTGAGGTCCCCAGAATGGTGCAGGTCACATCAGATGTCAGTCAGTCAACAAGGCCTGTGCTCATTTGAGCCCAGGTCCTTATGACTCCAAAGCCATTGACCTTTCAACTCTTCCACACTGTTCAAAATTCTCACAGCTGCATTTTTATGAAAATAGGAAAATGGAAACAGAGGGAGCCCATCCACCGAAGGAAGGCTGAGAAATGGGTAGATGACCGCGATGGAATATTACTGCACCAGAAACAGCAGCAAATGAAGAATTCAGGAAAACATATCAAGACTTACACAAACTGATGCAGACCAAAAGAAAGAGAGTCTGTGCAAGAGCTAAAATAATGATCACATAAGAAAGCTGCGTACACTAAAATAACACAATCAAAAACAACAAAATGCTGGACTCAGGTTAACTGCAAAGGGCGATGTGGTCCCAGAGACCCACTCTTCCCTGGCTGAAGATCCTGCCAGACGTCACTGCTTTGTCCACTGGCTTCTGCTGAGCAATGAGAAAGGATTCAACAGAGATCGGGGATATATATGGAAAACTATCACAATGTTAGAAAACAAAAGGCAAAAATAAAGTTTTCAACTGAAAAGATGCACATAATCAGTGAGGGCGTGCTATGTGCCAGTCACTCTGCTAAAGCACCGAAGACAAAAACAGAGGCAAAAACACGGCGTCTACCCTCAATTAGTTCACATGCAGACCGGGTAAACTATGTAAACAACTACGTACGTATAACACACATACATACAGGATAAACGGGAGAGGAGGAGGAGGGAGGGGGAAGAACTGGGAAAAGCCTCTAGAAGCAGCAGAAAGTGAAGTTCAGTCTTTAAGGGAGCCAGGGAAGCCAGGAGGTAGAAAGGAGGGAGGAAAACATTCCAGGTATGGAGCGTGTGAGGGACAGCAAGATAGTAACAGTTGTGTAGAACGTGTAGGGGAAAGCTAAGTATAAGGAAACTCAAAAGGCAGGCGAAGGTTTGAAGGGCTTTATAAAAGCCAGAGGAGAGAACAAGGTACCACTAGAGTTTATTGAGTATAGTCAGACTGCTTTAGGAAGGTTGCTTTGGCAAATGAATGGAGCACAGATGTAGGGAGAAATTAAGGGAGGAAGGGAAGGAAATAAGCTTTTTTTTTAAGCGCCTACTCTACGTGCCAGGTACTGTGCTAAGCACTTTTCAAATCTCTCATTTGATCTTTACAACCACCTATGAGGTAGGTCCTATTATTATCCCCAGTTTACAGGTGAGGAAACTGAGGCAAACAAAATGAGGTTAGGTGACTTGCCCAAAGCTTGAAAATGTCAGAAGCTGGATCTGACCTCAGGTCTTCCTGATTCCAGGTTGAATGTTTTCCACTCACTGCTCCACCTAACTGCCTCAGGAAAAGAGAAACCAAATAGAAGGCTACAATTATAGTCCGAGTATGAAATGATGAAGGCCTACAACAGGATGGTGGTTATCTAAGCAGAGAAAAGAGGATGTATATGAGATGCTGTGAAAGTAGATATGACAAGACATGGCAAGAGACTGGCTAAGTGAGAAGTGAGAAGCCAAGGATGATAGTGAGAGGTCAAGCCTGGCTGACAGGGAGAAAGGGGGTGCCCTTGGCACGAACAGGGAAATTCATAAAAGGAAAAGGCAGTATATTCTGTTTTGGACTCAACAGAGTTTGAGGTGTCCAATGGGCAGCTGGTGATACAAGTCTAGGGGTCAGGCCCAGATAAACAGATGAGGATCACCTGTGTAGACATAAAAAACCGAACCTATGAGAATGATATCACAAAGTACAGAGCAGTAATTCTCAAAAGTGTGGTTCAGGGGGCCCTGAGACCCTCTCAAGGGATCCATGAGGTCAAAACTATTTTCATCATTCTACAAACACATTTTAATTTCTAATAGGGTAGTATCAAGATATAAGCCCACATAACCCCCTGTGGGGGTTGTCAGATTTAAAAGTGTAAAGAGGCTCTGAAGCCAAAGAGTTTGAAAGCGGATAGTGTAGAGAAAGAAGAGCAAGTACTTCATTATGGAGACACTCACAGTTAGAGATGTGGCCTAGAGCCAGCTGAGAAAACTGAAGGAATGGTCAGACAGTTAGGATGAGAATCAAGAAAGAGCAGGATGATGAAAGTCTAGAGAAGAGAGAGTCCCCAGGAGAAGCAGGGGATCAACAGCATCAAAGCGGTCAAGATTAAGGATGGAGAAATGGCTGGTCATTCAATCGGACAAGCAGAAGATCTCTGGCAACTTCTGAGGGGGT